TTAAGTAATGGCAAGATTATCTCACTTTTTCAAGCAAATCTCATGCCATTGGAGATTCGTCAAAACTGTTTTTGTCATGAAAAAAAAAATTAAATGTTACAAAGAAATATTTGAAATGTCCTGTGCTACATAATGTTTATTTTTAATTATAAAATAAAAATAAAGGAGTTTTACAATCCCTATTATTAAAGAAAAAAAGATCGTATCATTAGGCAACTATTATGTGATCTAAATTTAGGTCAATGAATAGCATTATGAGCTAGTCATATGACTATCCCTCTAAATGCATAACTCCTCTTAATGCATACAATTTGCATAGTCCAAACAGTATGCATTTAGAGGAGTTTGACTGTAATTTATATTTTTCAAATATAAATTCAGATCAATAAACTTCTGTTATTACTTTATAAATCATTGATAAATATACTTAGCTCTTTGTCATAATTTCTTAAATTGTTCTTTAAAATTTAACTATTAATTAATAACTTAATTCCCATGATTATAAATTCTTAAGCCCTAGTTTTAGTATTTAACTTAAAATTTTTCTTTTATTTTTTTTTAAAATTATTTCTTCAATTCATAAACTAAAGTAGCTGTTTATGAGTTGTTAGTTATAAATTGCCTTTTGAAAAATAAAATTAGTTCAAAAAGTTGACTAGTAACAGTGGCTGCAGCAGGACAATAACCCTAAGCATACTAGCCATATTGCTAAAGAATTTTTTGATAATAATGTCCCTGAAGTCATGGATTGGCCTTCTAATAGTCCAGACCTAAATCCAGTTGAAACCCTTTGGGAAATTGTTAAGAGAAACGTAGAGTTGCATAGGCCAAAAAATCTTAGTGAATTAGAGAGTTTTTTGGGTGAGGAATGGGAAAAAAATAATACCAAATAGCCTTCTAGTTAATCTTGTAAATTCAATGCCACAGCGTTGTAAGGAGGTTATTGAAAAAATGGTGAAAGAACATCATTAAATTTTTTTTAATAAAATATACTGCGTATCAGCTTTAAAATGATACATAATACATTTTAATTGGTGTAACGGTTGTTGAATAAACGTAATTTAAATGATTGCCATTTTTTTTGCACACCACTGCATATTGTTATATAAAAATGTATTTTATTATTTTAATTAACTTATCTATAATAATTAATTGTATTTTATATATTTAGATTGATTGATAACTTTAGAAGATTTGATTTCTTTTATTGTAAAGTATGAAACAATTACAATTTGTGAATTAGAATTAATTCAATTATGTAAAGGTTTTAATATATTTAATAGTGTACACTGGTCGAAAAAAGGCACCTATTGGGTACCCGTTAAGTACCCATTATGGTTGTAATATAAAATTATAAATAATTCGTAATCGTAGCTACATATAAAAGTTTTTTAATTTGTAATTAAATCATTAAAAAGCTAATAAGTAACCTTGTAGATAATTAAAATTTATATTGTCTGTAAAAATATTACTCCTATTTAATTAAAATTGAGAAAATTATCGACATTTTAATTCGTACGTCCGTTCAAACTTTGTCGCTAATAATTCTTTGAATTTAAATGAAACAGGTTTAATATTTTTATAGACGATGTAGATTTTTTATTATTTACAAATCTACTTAGTAATATTTTGATGATTTAAATAATAAGTTAAAAACTTGCTATGATCACAAATTATTTTCGATTTTATACAAATATATCTATTGGAATTCACTATAATATAAAATCGAAAATAATTTATGATCGTAGCCACATATAAAAAAGTTTTTAATTATATAACTTAATCATCTTAGACTTATAGAAAATAAAATCTGCATCATCTGTAAAAGTTTTGAACCTATTTCATTTAAATTGAGAGAATTAGAAGCGATCAAAATTTAAACGGCCGTACGAATTAAAATGTCAATAGTAATCTAAAAATATTAGATCTATTTTTATTAAAATTGAGAAATAATAACGATCAAAGGTTGAACGGTCGTACGAATTAAAACATCAAATAATTCTTTCAGTTTAAATTTGATGGTTCTAAAATTTTTACAGACGATGCAAATTTTATTGTCTACAAGGTTACTTAGTATCGTTTTAATGATTTAATTATAAATTTAAAACCTTTTAAATGTAGCTACAATTACAAATTATTTATAATTTTATATTATAACCATATCGGTACCCGATAGGACATATACCACCTTTCGGGTACCGAAAGGTGGCCGAAATTCGAGACGAGTCGGGCACCTATCCGACCTATGGATGCAGTAATTCTGTTGATTGATTTGATCCGGTTGCAATTCTACTAAAATTATTTCTTTCGCTCTCATTGATTTTCGCAGTTACGTTATAATTATTGATAAGAAATTTTGTGCAAAAGTATTGTTTTTGATAGATGTTTTCATATTGTATATCACGTGAGAAATGTAATATTAGTTCCATCACGTTATTTAAAAATAAGTCTACATAACAAAAAAATAACCATAGGTATATCAAACATCTTTGTAAGATCGTTAATTTCGGCTCTGATTTTCACCGATTTCTGCATTACGCGTAAAAAGTTCTTTGCCCAACATAATACAAAAGAAACATGTGACAGCAATCCCCCATACATAGAGGTGCATTTTCGGGGAATATCATTGCGAGGAAGAAAAACAACCATAAAAGGTATGTTTTCCGAGACGCTAAATTGATCGTCTATACAAAGAGAATATTAGTCGTGGAGAACGCACAGACCTTCAATCACAAGCGAAGATACCTAGTTTGATTAAATTGGTTTATTTTACGTATTTTTTGACACTAAGGTCTGTTTGTTATAAATATACAGTACTAGGAAACGGACTCATTTTAAAAAAAAATTGTGACGTGCGTTGTAACCAGATCATGTGATTGATCGATTTTTCATTATGCGCAGAACTATAATGTCCTACGAACAACAACAAAAAATCATCAATACTATCAAATATATATTAGTATGTATTGTGTGTCGTCTGACGACGGAAACTATCATTCTCGGGATGAATATTTACATCCTAATGATGAATTAGATTACGGCTTTTGTTCTAATAATCCTAGAGTATACAAAAGTTTGTGCTTTGAAATCAGGTTGAATAATTTGATTGTGAACACGATACTTTGAATAATCTTCAATAAATCAAATTGAAGGATTGTTAGAGGTGAGTTACCTAAAGCAACATTTACTGCTCTTAAAAGGCTACACTAATAATAATAAATTCGCTAAAGATTTGATTCAAAATTTGGAATCATGGCCCCGAACAAACTAATCTAAATTCTATGATCATACCATATATGGACTGATGCAGTTTTTGATGAAGAAAGTGGTAAATATATTAAATATATATAATATATTTATATATCTATTGTATATCTATATATATTTGTTTTTATTTGACTTTAATATTTACAAATTTAATATTAATAACCAATTTAAATAGGTAATGCAACTTATGGGCGAAATCAAAAACTTGGAGATCTAGTTATTTATGGCAATTTTTATAAAATTATAATCGCATCAACGAAAAGATGCCGAGATTTAGTCGCAACTGTCTATTAAATATTTAGAATTGGATTTTAGAAACATACATATGAACTAATATTCTTTGGATTGATACAAAAAATTTTAGCAATACTTTATTGCATCATCCAAATTATGTGGATAAAATGGATGATAATAGACTTACTCTCTGACAATTACAAACCAAATTTGATGCATTGATCGATGATATCCTTAATTTTATTACGAATCCTATTAATTACGAATTTAAAAGAAACCAGCTACGAAGGGATATCCTTGTAGAAGTAAAGGTTCATAATGAAGGGATACTATTTCTCAATTTGATTTTCGTAGTTATAGAGGTCGTAATAGGACCAGACGAGTGTTGGCCAAACAAGTAAAACTGTTGTAATCTCTTAAGTGTAAGTGCGTACACTGAAAATGGTAAAAAAATTTTAAACTTGAAAATAATCTTAAAGTTGATAATATTGAATGCACTGATTGCAAGAGCATTCAGGCCATCGACATTGGTTATCCTAATTGTATTAATTGTGATGTGAAATTAAATCCAAGTAAACTTTAATTTGCACTTTTGGAATTCATAAACAATCAAATAGGAAAATTCCAAACACAAGATCTTATATGTTCTAAATGTAAACTTACCAGAGAAGGGAATTTATGCAAATATTGTGAATGCGGAAGTGAATTTCAGAGTACGATTAACGCGGATGACATTATTAAGTTAATCACAAGAGTTAATGAAAAAATAAGTTTGAATTATTGGAGGAAACATGTGAATGGTTACTAAACACTTAGATATAGTTAAGATAATATCAATATATATTTGTATCGTTTTGTCTTAAAGTTATCGATAATTTGATATGCAATAATTTTGCATTAATAAAAAATCAATGAGTAAGTTATTAAAGACGCTCGAAATTGAAATCCCGTGACCAAGTCATTAGATCGGCCTGAATAATTGTATTTTTGATCGCGAAAAATTTATTTATTCGTTTCGTTTTTTGTTTTTTTTTAACGCGAAATTACTTCTTTTCAGATCCATAACGAATTTAAGTCTCTTGACAATTCCGTGACCAAAGTCATTATATCGCAATCATCGTATCTTGATCACGTGATTGGAATCGCGAAAAAAATTGTTTATTTCGTTTATTTTGTTTTCTTTAAAACTCTTCTAAAAACTTTTACCGTTATTAAAAAAGATATTGTAAGTATATGTAAAAAATGCAATTTTCTTGCGAAATTATTTCTTTTCAAACTGATAACAACTAATATTATTTCTTAAACTGTTGCTTTTTCTTTAACTCCTTTTACTATTGTCACTTCCTTAATTTTTCGTTCCCACTTTTCCTTTTATTCCTTGCTCTTTTACCTTTTTTTACTTCCATTTTTGCTTCCTTTACTTCTACTTTTCTTTTTTACCACTATCTCTTGCACTTTTATTTTTCCCCTCCTTTTCTTCTTTCCTTTAGTTTAAAAATATGTCTAATAACAACCTTTTAAGACTTGATACCTCCTTTTCGTTTTCAACACCTTCTTCATCAAGAGCTAGTAGTGTTATTCCAGATGAAGAGTAAGTATATTGTTGATTATTAATTTCTTAAATGTTAGGATGATATTAAAATATATAGTAACATATTATAATAGATATGAAGATGTCCCTTTTTCGATTTCAACACCTTCTTCATCAAGTGCTTGTAGTGTTATTCCAGATGAAGAGTAAGTATATTGTTGATTATTAATTTCTTTAAGTATTAGGATGATATTAAAATATTATAATAACATATTATAATGGACCAATCAACGCCGATTTCCACCGCCCGACCAAAACCGACGGACCGAAACTTACCCATCCGGCAGTGATGATCAATGAAATGGCCAAAACGGGACAAATTTCACTCGCCAGGCACAGTTAGTATATAATTAATATGTATTTTATATTGTATTTATGTTATGTATGCATATTCTTACAAAAAAATAGGACGACGATCTCAGAATAGATATGCCCCATACTTGAATTCTCAAGTGGGGGAAAGGTATAAAAATTGAATAACTTGATTAATCTATTGAAAAATATTATATTTTATATATACATAATAATTTGATTTTACAGGGGACGAGTTGTTAACAATGAAATGGCTGAAGCCTTGTCTTCTCGATATACAAAGGAGGTTGGAGAGAAATTTCTTGGCGACCCGGTATCCATACAAGATAGAAAAGATTTAAGAAAATATAATACCGGAGTAAGTATATTTGTATACTTATTTAATTTCTTTATAATTCATTTTTTTAAAAAAAAAAAATTTCAAAAATTTGATTGGGAATTTAATTATAGGTGCGCTTTCTTGATGGGCTTCATCAACATTCCAAGAACAAAAAGAAGAAGCCCTGCAGAAATTGTAAATATGATGATTACAAATTTCTGCGATCAACAATTAATCCTGGTCCATATGAAGATTGGTATGTATTTCATTATTCTTAAGAATTTTCAATTATTTTTCTTTAGATATTACTTAATATTGAACTTTTTTTTTAGTGAATGGGAGGAACTTAAGTGGAAACCATTTTCAAATCCAAAAATTTCTCCTAACAAATGGCTTCAAGTCCGCCGTGATGAACTTAATAAATGGCAAAGAGAAAGAGGCATATTAGTTTTACCTCCCACTTTCTTAATGGATGATTATTTCGAGGATGATCATTCTTCCAACATAATGGATGATTATTAAGGTATCTTCCTATCAATCTTTACTAATGATCAAATTTTTCTTATTTGAAGTTAATATTGAACAATAATATTTAATTTATTGATAATAATTGAATAATAGTGGATACAAAAATAATAATTGATGATGTAGAATTGATTGTGGATTTCCTTGGAAACAGATGGCGATTTCTATTTTTTTAATTTTAATTTTTATATTTGTTTTTACTGGAATAATGAAAACTTATTAATTTGCGCTTATTTTACTTATTTTGTTTATTTTTATAAAGATATTCCGATATTCCCTTCGAACGAACAAACGAACGAACGAACGAACGAACGAATAAACAAACAAACGAAGTCAAATTTGAATAACATGGCGTACAAAATTCCAAAAATGGTAATTTTTATTTTCCCCATTTAATGGATACTACTTTGAAACCGTTTCTTATCTTATTTATTTATTTACAATTAGCTTTAAAATGATATTTGGAAAAATAATGTTATTCAAATGTGTTGGCATACGAGAACCCAAAAAATGGTAATCTTCTTTCTTTAATAGATTAATTTTATTAATTTTCATAACGAATTTTCTATTTGTATATTTTGTAGTTAAATAAATTACTATGATTACTTTTTTAAGAATATTTTTTCGGGTAACTTTATTAAAAAAAAAGTATTTTTTGTATTTTTTTTATTTAATTCATAAATTTTAATAAAATGATTAATGCAAAATTTTTTTCCTGAATTTATCACACTTCCCATATGATAATAAATGCAAAGTATGCTATTTTAGAATGTGAAACTATAATTACTAAGCATTTTCTTTATTGTATTTTATAATAAGGTAAAATCCATCACATATTACATTTTCTTTCTGAATTTTTTCTGAATTTTTTTTTTCGTTATAGAGTTTCAAAAGTTGTTTAGAAAAACGTTAGTTGTTTAAAGTTGTTTAGACAAATTAGTTTTTTAGAAGTTAACATTTGTTATTATACTTTATTACGCACTTTTCTTATGTCTTTAAATTGTTTAAAATTAAAATACTAAATAAAGTTTTTAAATAATAAATTGGGACATTATTATTACGTAGTCCCGTAATATTACGTAATACTACGGTTTATAAATTTTCTTGAAAGGATGGCAAATATAAATAATTTTTGTTTCTTTTTAAAAAAAAAACGAATGAAAATCTTTAATAATATAATATAATAAAAAATAAATATTATGATCTGACAATCGAATCACGCCCGTCATCATATGAGACATCTATAGCAATTTAAGTCGTTTGTTTTATCCAGGATAAAACAAACGACTGTATAAATCAACAGAATAAAATATTTTATTTTAAAGAATACAAACATACATACATACATAAATGATTAGATATTTTAATTACATTGATTGGTTAGTTAATTGAATAAAATCAAAACTCTTTCATCCCATGTTCTCTTATTTATTATTATTCATCTTCATCATCTTCGCTTTCATCTTCTTCTTCTTCTGCTTCCTCCAACCAAGTTATAAAAGGTTTAATCTGTCAAAAAAAGAACATTTGAATATATGTTAATTTCAAAATAATAATAATAATAATAATAATAATAATAATAATAATATATATATATATATATACCTGCATATGAATAGCATCATCTTTAGTAGTAGTAGTAGAAGATGACTCGGCAGAAATAGTTGAAGTAGAATAATACCATTCAATTAATGCATCTTCTTCAATTATATCCATTTCATATAAAATTCGACAAATTTGAGCAAAAACTTTTAATTGTGATTGATTTTCTGTATAATGCTCTTGTAATATTTTTATTGCATCAATTTGATCATGTTTGGAAAATATTAATTTTGCTATAAGTGGTCCCCAACGTGTTAATATCTAATTTAAAATAAAAAATATAAATTAATAAAAAAATATAATTTAATATAAAATATAATTTAAAAAATAATTGATAATTTGAAATTTACTTCTTTAGTTCCCATCATCCCTTTTTTAACATCAATTCTATTTATTACTGTAGGTATTACAACTACCCGTAAATCATGAAAATTAGTATTTGAAGCTAATCTTAAAGTGTTTAATTCTAATAGAGCAATTTCTACAGTATGTCCATCAGAAAATGCTCTTTCCAAAGTTTGAACAACTTCTTTTTGAAATATTTCTTGAGCTGTTGATTCATCTGAATCACTTTCTTCATATGATGATTGATCACTTATTATTGAAGCTGATGATTCGCTTAGTGATATATTTGATACATTGTATGCTATTTATTTTGTAATAATAATAATAATAATAATAATAAATAAAATTAAATATTACATTAAAATGTTAAATTTGTTGAAATTTGTAGTAAATGTTGAAAAATAAATAAATATAGGAATAATTAGAAAGAGAACAAAAAGAGAACAGAAAGAATAGAAAGAATAGAAAGAATAGAAAGTAAATAAAAAGAATAGAAGGTAAATAAAAAGAAAACAGAAATGAATAGAAAGAAAACTCACCTAATGAAGCAACTTGAACATTTTTTAAATTTATTGCTTCATCATCATCATCAGAAATTTCATCAATCCATAAATATCCTTTTCCAATTTTACCAACTAAATTAATACCATAACCATTCTTATTCAATTCTTCATCATCTTTATCATCTTCTCCTTCTTTCCCTTCTCCTCTTTCTCCTCCTTCTCCTTTTCCTTCTTCATCTTTTTCTATTTCATCTTCATCATCTATTTCATATTCTTTATCTTTTTCTTCAAACGCAATATTATTTTGTTTATATTTTGATATTTTTGTATGTGCTTTTAAAGTTACATTTGGTCCAATAACTACCTAATATTTATAATATATTTATATATGAATAAATTGAAAAATAAATTATTAAAAAAAAAAAAATACAATATATTTCACTTACATCATAGCCAATTAAACAACCTTTATTAACAATAACATTTTCTTCCAAGATAACTTTATTCGCTAATATAGATCGTGATATTGAACAATTTGCATTAATTGTCACATCATCCCAAATATATGCATCATTAATTTCAACATTAGGTCCTTAAATAAGAAAGAATAATAATAATTTAATAATAAATTTTAATAGTAATTTTAATAATAAATAATATAATAATAATAATAATAATAATATAATAGTAATAATAAATACCTATATTAACTCCTCGACCAATTACTGAATTTGTTATCTTTGTATGATCAGCAATTTTTGTACCCGCACCAATTAAAACTTTTTCTCCCAATGAACAAGATCTTGATAATTCAACATTTTTTTCTTTATATATTTGACCTCGCATATATTCATAACTATCACCTTCTTGTAAATTACTATCTGGAACAATTGGATATGTCCAACGTGATAAAATATCTTTACTATTAATTAAATTAATGATTAATATTAAATTATTAAATTAATTAATATAATAAATAGAGTGTTTACCTAATTGCATCATATGTTTGTAGACTTCTCACTCTTGCTGCATACGCATCTTTAACTACGTGACAATATATAGTTTTACCTAATAAATCTGATGTTAAAATACCATACACAAAATCTTTTCTCATATCTTGATAATCAAAATTCTCTGTGAATAATGCTGGAACCTGATTAATAAATATATTTATAATTATATTATTTATTATATGTTTAAAATACATTAAAGAGGTAAAATAAGGTAAAATAAGAAGAAGAATAATAATATTATTATTATTAGTAATTACCTCCACCGAACAAATATCAATTTGACAATCGATAAGATCATTACGTATTTGAATATCAGTATGTTTATCAAATATTTCCATATCCATTACCATTCTTCGTTTACGTGGATACGTTTCAATTGATTCAAAATGAACACATTCATTGGTTTTCACGTCAAGTACGAAAATGGACGATTCTCCTAATGCTCTAATAAAATGATGAAAATAATATATTCAATTATATTTATTATATTCATCATATTGGTTATATTAATTATATTGTTATTTTGATTTTTGATTTTTTTTCACCTTGTTCTATGAAGAGGACTTGCTTCTTTGACAACCTATTTAAATAAATTTTATTTATTATATTATATATTTAGATTATAGATATTAAAATTAAAAAATATTTATCAATACCATTGTCATGATTATATTTTTGTCGTTCGCTTTCCGCATTCTTTTTTTTTAAAAAAATAAATAAATAAATAAATAAAATATTTACAAGAATTTACATCCAAAAAGTTGACACACACACACACACACATCAGATACACATACCTATGTGCTTCTAAAACTTTTTCTAAATGTATATTTGATACCACATCACCACTAATAAGTATGAAATCAGAACTAATCAATTGTTTCGCATCTAATTCTCGTAATGCATCACCAACCGAACGTGCTTCAGGAGTTACGATGGTTATTATTTTTATTGGTGAATATGATCGATTCCATTTCGATTCGCTATTAATAATTTTAATCCAATTAATTCAATTAATTTGATTTATTCAATTGATTAAAATTATATATATATTTTTTTTATTAATTCTCTCAATATCTAAACATATACACCACTCACTTTACATATTTTTTTATTTTTTCCGAGTGCTCTCTACAAAACAAGTATACTTCTTGTACTCCCGCTACTGCCAAAAATTCAAAGGTATATTCAAGTAAGGGCGTATTACAAAGTGGTAATAAACACTTTATTTTATTATGTAAAGTTTTCGGTTATATTAGTTATAAATATTTAATATATATTAAAGTAAATATATAGAGAGACATACTCGTGGCTTATCTAAAGTTATAGGACGAAATCGTTCATTAAAACTATCCGCAAGAACTACAGCTTGTAATACATTTTCGGATTCTATATTTTTTCCCGAACTTTTAGGTGGTCCCATTATTAACGATTATATATTACATATCGCATCTTTAGAATTTAACACAAATTGATGTCCAATAAAATTTTTTGCATGTGATACGGATCTTGCATGAAATAAATGAGAATAGAATCTTATCAAAGAACTTCTAAACCATTGTCCAACATTGTTTGGAACAAAATTCTTCATTTAAAATCCAATAATGGCAATAATGGAGAATTTAAACAAAAATCTTTGTATTACCTAAACACTTTAAAGTTCATCGAACTTTGTAAATTTATAATTTCTTTGTTCGTTCATAAATTTATCCTTCGCTAAAATTTTCATTAATATTAAGAAATATTTTTTATATGAAATATTACTGAAATATTCATTCAAAGTATGTTTAAAAAAGATAAAAAAAATGGTGAATCCGAATTAACTGGCGAATATGCCATTCCTAGCACTCGCAAAGCGATGCTCAGTCACGTCGGAAATGCAATGTCGATAGTCAGCGATGTCATTGAACCATTTGTTCCTTTATTCGGTATCGTTGATAAAGTCATGGATAGTTTGAATACCATTTATGATAATGCGAAATGCAATAAAAAAATGTGTGGAGCTTTAATAGATCGTATTGGAATTGTTGAACAGGCTACTAAGTCCTTAAAACGTAGAAAGAATGAAAATGCTGCAAATTTTTCCAAACAAGAATATTATCGTGCGTGGGTAAAATTTACCAATGTACTGAAAAATATTAATGACTTTGCTAAAGATGTGACACAACAATCAGTATTTCAAAAATATTTAAATGCTAATATCGTTAAGGAAGCATATGACAAAAATATTAAAGAATTTGAAGATGCGTGTAGAGATCTACAATTTTCAATTGATATATCTAATATGATTTCGGATGAACAAAGAGAGGAAGAAAATAAGCAAATATTAGAGGAACTTAATTTGATAGCATGGGTATATATTATTATTAAATTCATTATTTTAATCTTTTCCTTTTGTATTATTTTAATTAAATTATCTAATAAATTATAAATAGGCAATGAGCGAACTTTCAGATGATGTAAAAAATATTTCGAAACAGATAACTATTTTATCGGAACAATTAAGCTCCCAAAAATTAAATCCTGGTGATATTAAAGTTCCTTATGTGAAAGGGTCCGAACTTACATATCCAGAAACCAAACCTGGTAATGTAAGAGGATCGCAAAGAACCATTGTTAAAAGACTTTATCATAAAACATGTCAAGTGGCATGCAAAAAAATTCAAGCTATTGAGAAAAATGAAACAGCTGGATCTCGGAGTATTCAAACACAATTAGTTATCCTCGGTTTATTAGGAAAATGTCCTAATATTATTACTTTTTATGGTCTTTCAGAGATAGAACAAAATGTTTACATGGTTTTTGAATGGGCGGAATATGGAAATTTGAAAGAAGTTTATGAAAAATATACAATTCCCTTACCTACAAAGTTACAATTTATCTCGAATATATTCAAAGGTCTTTATTTTATATCTGATGGTGAAGTTCTTCATCATGATGTCCGATGTGAGAACATTTTGGTAAGTATATATTACTTTAACAAACCAATTACCAATTTAATTTAATAATCTATTTTAAATTTATATTCATATAATAGGTCACTAAAAATCTTGATGTAAAAATATCAAATTTTGAAATGTCACGCCAAATTCACGGAATATCCACAACAATTCTCAGTTTAGAGGATTATGTTCGTTGGTTGGCACCTGAAAAAATGCGTGATATGAAATACAGATACAACCATAAGTGTGAAATATTTAGGTATATGTATTTTTTATTTATTTATTTTTGATATTTTTAGTCTATATTTAATTAAAATTTTTTTATAATTTAAAAATTTTAGTTTCGGAATGTTGGTTTGGGAACTTATTCATCAAAAGATTCCATACAAAGATATGACTTTTCATGAAGTACAAGAACACGTTAAAAATAAGAAAAGAGAATATTTATCAAATCAACTTAATTCAGATCCGATTTTAATAGAATTGACAAAACTTATTAAAAAAAGTAATTAGTAATACATTTAATATTATATTATCATACATTTTCAGTATTTATTTATTTATTTATTTATTTTTAATGATTTTTAATGATTTTTAATTATAGCATGGGATGACGATCCAGAGTTACGTCTATCATTTGCCGAAATTTATTTGTTAATCAAAAATTTAGAAAAAAGTGTGTTACCGACTTCTCCACGGATTGATCCTAAAACTGATAACAGCGATGTTATTACAGATCTTGAATTAAGTCAAAGTCATCAAAAATCTGGTAGTATCTCCTCTCATTTTGACGATCCTAAAAAATGTCCTGATAGTGATGATTGCTTCCTTGATGACGGTTTACTAACACTTATCAAACCATTCGAGGATGGAATTATAGCACATAGAGAAAAGAGATACAAGGATGCTTGGGAATGTTTTAATGAACATGCTAATTTAGGACTTAGTTTGGCAAAAAATTGGAAAGGTTATTATCTTGAAAAAGGACTTTATATAGAAAAAGATGTAATGGAAGGTTTAAAATGGCTAAAATCAGCAGCAGATGATGGTGTTCCTGATGCACAACTTCGATATGCAAAAGGATTAATCAATCTTAGTAAAAGTACTGGTAGTAAGGAAAATTATAAGACCATTTTAGAATATATGAAAAAAGCAGCTGATGGAGGAAATGAAACTGCTCAGATTAATTTAAGTAAAATTTATTTTACAGGACAATTTGGAGTGAAAAAAGATGAAAAAAAAGGAAATGAATTTTTTGAATTAGCATCCTTAAGAAATCCAAAGCTTGTAAAACCCCAATAGAATTCATTAAATTCATAGAATAACTTTTTGTTATTTTCATTTTTTCATAAAGATTTTATTCATTTGTAATTTATGTAATTATTGAATATATACTTATAAAATATTATTTTTTAATTTAATTAATCTTTTTAATTATTTTGATGTTATTGATCAAAAATAGTATGAAATTGTTAAGAACTTAATTTGACCATGTTTTAGAAATAAATGTTTCAAGTATATTGTTAACTGGAATTCACCTTTTAAAGAAAATCAAATATAAAAATTACACAACTAAAGATATCTGCCATAATTATTTTCATGAGTTGCAACTATTTGTCATAATAGTATTTTTGGCTGTAATTTCATAATTCTGTCATAACTATGTTATAATGTAATTATATATAAAATCAGAAATAATCATCAATGGTTGTTATATATAAACCTTTTTTATTTATAAGTAAATATTAAAAATTCTATAAAAACAACAGAAATAAGAAATAAATGTGAAAATTACAAAAGACCTTTACACTTTCCATAATGTAATAATGATTACTTTTCTTGGAACCATATCAAAACAGATACAAAGCTTTATACTTTAATGAAGGTGAGTCCTCCTACCAAATTAAAATGAATTAGAACTTTATATAAAATTTAATATATACTATACTTGCACCCAAAGTTAAATTTCATATAGTTTTGAGGGACAAAATACAAAAGTATCGTAACACCTGATTTTTTGTTTTTGAAAAATTCTAGCTCCTGAACAATAGATCTTAGAACTAGTTACTATTAATCTTTGAGTTTTGAAGGATTTTTTGATAATCATATAAAATTGTCAATAAAACTTTTTTATTTTATAAGTGAATGTCACAATTAAACGCATGTTACATATCATGCAAAGAGCAATCAATGGCAAGTTGCATATCTTGAAGATGGAGCCCAAATGTAAAATATCACCCCCGGACAATAAATCTCACCTACAAGGGAAAATCCTGAGGTTCATGTTCGGTGCGTCAGTTCATTTCGAACTGATGGTAAACGAGACAGAGAAATTCTTGAAAATGATACCAGAGACAAGAGTGAAGAACATGTTGATATTACAATTGAGAAAATGCAAGCATCCCTTGGGAAATTGTTCAGAATTGGTACCTTGGGAGGCACTAATGAATAACCAATGTACACAAATTTATAATTATGTTCAACATTGCTTTGTGAGACGCTCATAGTAGTTTGAGGTAATTTATAAAAATAATAATGTATCTGAAATTGCCAAGTTAATAAAGTTTCGGGCTTACTTTTGGTGTATCGGAAAAAATTAAGAACATGTATTATGAAAAATAAATAATTATTTTGTTGTATCATCATTACGAACATTTAAAGTTTTAACTCTATTAATAAGACCCAATTCTCGAAGATGCTCTGGAATAACTATGTACGGGTCTTTATAATATCAGACATATCTTAAAATGATACAGTTTTCTTCGCACAATTCTTTCTTGAGTTGATTCTGTGCTTGTTATTTGGTAAAATTATTGGGATCACTTCTATAAAAGAATTCAATGTATTTTTCATGCTGTTTCTCTTGTACTTCGATCGCAAAGCTATATTCTAGAAAATAAATATCAAGTTCCAACCCTGCAGGATATTTTAGTGTTAGGTTCGATGGAGGTCCAAGATATTTTGATACAATTTCATGACAATTTTTCACATTTATATTTTGAGTAATAGGATACCACATACCTATAATTTTTATACTAAAAAGTGTCTAAGATAGAAAGAAAGGCCTTACTACAAAATGATATGTGTTTTCCTGATAGCATCGAACGTCTGTGAAAAATTTCAGTCATAATTTTCCCGGAATCTTTTATAATTCCGGCCAGAATGACGGAAAATTTATAGCAGAAATTTTTCACGAACGTTCGACTTTAAACGCAAATAACTCCACGAATATAGATGCTACCGGGATGAAACACATAATTTTGTAGCCAAGAATAATGCCTTTCTTTCTGTATTAGAAATACCTAAGTAGATTTTCACTCTGCGCCTCACAAATCGCGAGCGAAGATGTGAAAATCTCCGGAAATTTTCGTTTTTTTCGACTTTGCTCGCGATTTTCTACTAAGATATTTCTAATATAGAAAGAAAGGCCACTTTCTTTCTACAAATTATATGTGTTTCATACTGGTAGCATCGATATTTGCGGAGTTATTTGCGTTTAAATTCGAACGTCTGTGAAAATTTCTGCTATAAATTTTCCGTAATTCTTGCAGAATTATGAAAAAATTTTCACGGATGTTCGACTTTAAACGCTAATAACTCTATAAATATTGATGCTATCTGGATAAAGCACATGTCATTTTGTAGCCAAGAACAAGCCCTTTCTTTCTATCTTTGAAATACCTTAGTAGAAAATCGCAAATTGCGAAAAAAATGTGAAAATCCTCCGCCTATCAATATAATTGACATCCATAATTAATTTCGGCACAACGTATATTCACAACGAACGAATATGCAAGGTTAAAATTATCCTGGTCAAAAATTTTCAAATAAACTTTTTGGATAAGAAACGCTTAAAAAATAAAATAAAAACGGTATCTGGCATTCTGATACATTTTTACTTAACGAAAAGATGAATGTGTAGTTTGGTAGATAAACTTTTAATGGCGTTTACAAATAAATATAATATATATCAAAACTCATTGTGGTTACTAGAAATTGATTATTCGATGATAAGTAATGGAGAAAATATTTATTTCTGTAGAAAAAAAGTGAAAATAAAAAATAAAAAATCTAGAATTAATGATTGCCAACTCCACAAGATAGTTTTGTATTAAAAGATATATCAAAAGACAAAGACAACGCAGAGCCACAAAACCATCTGAACAACAATTATTAAAACCACTAATTGATTCAATAAAAAATAGAGTACGAGTTAATCAATATATATCTTATCTTCAAAAAAATAAATAAATATCTTTTTTAAAAGCATATATTTGAAAGTCTTTATTAACTTATATATTTAAATACATAATCAATTAAAGTTTGAACTAAAATTATAATTACATAACTATTTAAAAATAACTAAAACTTCTTTCCTTTCATCTTTCGCCTTTCGCCTTCGCTTTTAATTTCAACAAAGAATATATAAATATAAACAGTTGGTGATAAGTTTATAATAAAAAAAATAATAACTGTTTTTTTATAAAAAAAAATAACATAACTTAATAATACCAATATTATTAAAATTGAAAAAATGAGCCAATTATTTACATAGATACAGTACCTTGTTTTTGTTAAACCTTCAAATAGCACGAGAATCTGAGACTTAAATGTTAAATAGAAGGTAATATTTATGCGCCAGTAAAAGGATATCTAAAAATTCAAAACATGTTACGTGAAAAAAATGACTAATCTGTGACCGCTTTTAAAATAACACAATATTATTAGGTTAGTTGTTCAATTTCGGAATTTTGTTTTAGAATTCCAGCTTTGCTAATGCATGAGATAAAGAAATTTAAAATCCAATAATGGAATTTTTAAAAAAACTTTTCGTATTACCTAAACATTTTAAAGTTCTACAACTTTGTAAATTGATAATTTTTTGTTCGCTCATATTTTTTACGAATTTATCGTTGCCGAAATTTTCATTAATATTAACAAAATTTTCATTAATATTAACAAAATTTTCATTAATATTAACAAATTTCATAATATAATATTAACAAATATTCAAATATTCAGAAATATTCGTCATATGATATATTACTAAAATACACATTCCAAATATGTCTAAAAAAGATAAAAAAAAAATTGATTTTGAATCCGAAGGGATGCATTTTACTGGTGACTATACCATGCCTAGCACTAGCGAATCGATGCGCGGTCACGTCGGAAATGCAATGTCGATAGTCAGCGATATCATTGAACCATTTGTTCCTTTATTCGGTACCGTTGAAAAAGTCATGGAGAGTTTGTATACCATTTATGAAAATGCAAAATGCAATAAAAAAATGTGTGGAGCTTTAATAGATCGCATTGAGGTTGTTGAACAGGCTACTAAGTCCTTACAACGTAAAAAGCAAGAAAATGCAGCAAAATTTCGCAGTGAAGAATATTATCTTGCGTGGGTAAGATTTACCAATGTACTGAAAAATATTAAAGTATTTGCTAAAGATGTCACACAACAATCGGTGTTTCAAAAACATTTAAATGCTAATGCCGTTAAAGAAGCATATGATAAAAATATTAACGAATTTGAAGCTGTTTGCAAAGATTTGCAATTTTCAGTTTATATGATTTCAGAAGAACAAAGAAAAGAAGAGAATGATCAAATAACAAACGAACTTAATTTGCTAGGATGGGTATATATTATTATTAAATTTATTATTTGAATTTTTTCTTTGGTATTATTATCTTGATTAAATTATCTTTTAAATTATAAATAGGCAATGAACGAAGTTTCAGATGAAGTGAAAAATATTTCGAAACAGATAAATATTTTATCAGAACAATTAAACAGCCAAAAATTAAATTCTGGTGAAATTAAAGTTCTTACTGTAGATGATTCCGAACTTACAGATCCAGAAATCACTAACCCCGACAATGTAAGAGGATCGGAAAAAACCATTGTGAAAAGAATTTACCGTGGAACATTGCAAGTGGCATGCAAAAAAGTTAAGGCTATTGATAAAAATGAATCAGCTGGATCTCGGAATGTCCAAACACAATTGGTTATCCTCGGTTTATTAGGAATATGCCCTAATATTATTACTTTTTATGGTCTTGCAAAGATAGGCCAAGATGATTATATGATTTTTGATTGGGCGGAACATGGAAGTCTGAAAGAAGTTTATGAAAAATGTGATATGTCCATACATACAAAATTACGATTTATCTATAATATATTCAAGGGTCTTTCTTTTATATTTAACAGTGGAGTTCTTCATCATGATGTCCGATGTGAGAATATTTTGGTAAGTGGATACAATATATATTGTTTTAATAAGTCCAATTTAATATAATAATCCATTTAAATTTATATTTATATCATATAATAGGTTACTGAAAATCCTGATGTAAAAATAACAAATTTTGAAATGTCACGTGAAATCAAAGCAGAAACTACGTCATTCTCAGGTTTAAATGATTACGTTCGTTGGTTAGCACCTGAAAAAATGCGTGGGTCGAGATACAACCATAAATGCGAAATATTTAGGTAATATATATGTATATATTTATTTATTTTTGATATATTTTTTAATAATTTAATAAAAAAATTTTATAATTTAAAAAACTTAGTTTTGGGATGCTAGTTTGGGAACTTATTAATGAAAAGGTTCCATACAAAGATAAGTCTTTTAAAGAAATACAAGAACTTGTTAAAAGCAAGAAAAGGGAAGAGTTACCATCTCAACTTAATTCAAATCCGATTTTATTAGAATTAACCAAACTTATCAAACAAAGTAATACACTTAATATATATTATCACAATTTACAACATTTATTTAATATTTAATATTAATATTTTATTTAATATTTTATTTTAATGATCTAAAATATAGCATGGGATGATGATCCAGAGTTACGTCTATCGTATCCTGAAATTTTAAAGCTTCTCAGTACTTTAGTAAATAGAATGTCACTGAGCTCCCCACGGATTTCTCCTAAAAATGATTCCAGTGATGTTACAGATTTTGAATTAGATAATAAAAGATCTTTTAGTTTATCCTCCTCCTCTCATTATGAAATTGATCCTGAAAAATTGCCTGATGTTGATGATTGCGTTCTTGATGATGTACCAACATTTTCAATTGTCAAACCATTCGAGGATGGAGTTAAGGCACATAGAGAGAAGCGATATAAGGAAGCTTGGGAATGTTTTGATGAACATGCTAAATTAGGACTTAGTTTGGCAAAATATTGGAAAGGTTTTTATCTTGAGAAAGGGTATCATGGAGAAAAAGATGTAATGGAAGGTTTAAAATGGCTAAAATATGCAGCAGATGATGGTCTTCCTGATGCACAACTTCGATATGCAAGTGGATTAATCAATCTTAGTAAAAGTACTGGTAGTTCAGAAAATTATAAGACCATTTTAGAATATATGAAAAAAGCAGCTGATGGAGGAAGTGAAACTGCTCTTTATAATCTAGGTGATATTTATTTTAATGGAAAATTAGGAGCAGAAAAAGATGAAAAAAAAGGAAATGAATTTTTTGACTTAGCAGCCTTGAAAAATCCAAAATTTATGAAAAAACATCCAACCCAATCAACCCAATAGAATTTATTAAATTTGTAAAAAAAAATTGCTAGAATAACTGTTTGTTATTTTCATTTTTTATAAAGATTGTATACATCTGCAATTTATATAAATTTTATGTAATTATTGAATATGTTAACACTTATAAAATCATTGTTATTTTTAATTTAATTAATCTTTTTAATTGTTTTAATCAAGAATTTTACTTGATTATGGTTTCAGGAATGAATATCCCAAGTATATCAATCTCGAATAATATGTAAGTATTCACATTGTTAGGTCTTGTATTGGGAAAATAAAATATAATTTATTTAGTTTCAGATCTTACTTGAGCTTGGAAGAAAGATAAAATTAAAGAAAGAGGTGATTTAAAGACTAATCAAATAATAAATAGAGTAAATAAAACTACAAAAAAATAATAAAGACAAGAATAAAAACAATAATGATACAGTTTATTTATAAGTTATATACTTAATAAATTACAGTAGCATTCTATATAGCAGATTGATAATAGAATTAACATTTGATAATTGAGTAGTATTTTGAATATTGAATTAGTATTCTGATAATTGGTCACCAAAGTAATAACTACATTAGCAAATTACTGATCTAATTATTATATTTCATATCCTATTGATAAAATACTATTTCTATACAATATAGGTAAAATAATATATATGAAATAATAAAAAAAAAATTAAAAATGTTGATAATTATCCCAATAACATATTACAGTATTTTAAAAAATTTATTAATAACAAATAAACAAATTATATAAATATGTAAATGTATGTATTTAATAATTCAGACTAAACCATCCTAAACCTGCTCATGTTTTTCTATCTTTTAATTTTATTAATCTTATTGCTACAATAACTACCCAGGATAGTAGTCCTAAACCTAAAGAAGTAAATAAAAGTTTTACCATAGCAAAAAAGTCCTTCTATATTTTGCCTTTTAGATTAGTCCATTGTGTCCTAAACTGTTCTAAATGTCCTAAACCCTTAGTCTGAATCACTAGTATGTATTGTAAAAATGGATAATGGATCTTAAAAATCAAGAAGAAAATTGTTTTTAATTATGGTATAATTGAAATATAATATTTTAATCAATAAACATCCACAAATAATAATTTTGTAAAAAATTTAATATACAATTTTCCAAGTTTTTTACTTTAATGATGACTTTGTTATAAACAGTAACATAAGAAAACTTTTTTAGAAAAACCTTTAAAGGTTAATATTAATATAACTATTCTGTTGCTTTTTGTTATGTTATCCTTTGGAAGTTTTTGCTAACTTCAAAAGTTATCAATTTTGATATTTTCATATATGAAATTTTGTGTTTTTGTAGTAATTTTGTATCAGAAATTTTTGATGATCTTTGCTTATATTAGATATTTATAATATATTATTTTATTAAATTTCTTATCATTTGTATTCAATTTTCATAAATCTCAGCACATTGTATTTTGCATATATTTATATCAGTAATTTTAATTGAAATTGCACTGTTAACTATATTCTTCAAAGTTTATCACAACAATTTTAATTGACATTGTATTGTTAACAATATCCTTTGAAGTTTATCACAGCAATTTTAATTAACATTGTATTATTAACAATATCCTTTAAAGTTTATCACAACAATTTTAATCAACATTATACTGTTAACAATATCTTTCAAAGTTTATTACAGCAATTTTAATTAACATTATACTGTTGACAATATCTTTCAAGTTTATCACAACAATTAAGATTAGCATTTATATTTACTGAACATAATTATATTATTTTATTAAATATCATGTTGATCCAAAATTTATTAATATAAATATGTTTCAAAATCTTTGATAATTTACTATATTATAGTTAAAGATTTTCAGAATAATTAAATAATGATTTTGAATTAGTATTGTTTATAATTTCATAAACAATAAAAATTTTAAATAAGCCTTTTAATAAATAATTATTATCATATAAGTATTGTAATTATATTACAAATATTACAGGTCAAATACAAAAGAATAGGTGACATAAATAGAAATTCTGATTTTAGCTGATTTATAATATAAGATAAAATAGAATATTTGATTTTAACTAATCTATAATATAGAAATCCTGATTTTAGCTAATCTATAATATAATTACCTTTAACATTTGATACAGTTATTTTTTTATATTTAACTAGTGTATTTGTAAACTTTATATAAATATTTGTGATAAATTTTCTGAATAAAAATAATTATTATTATATAAATATTATAATTATATATCGCAAATATTCTAAATAAGCATTGTCACATACAGTAATTCACAAAAGTACTGTAACACCTGAATTTTGTCTTTAAAAAATTTTACCTCTTGAACAATAGATTTAAAACAATTGTTATTATATATACTTTAATCTTTGGATTTTAGTAATTTTTAAAATGTTGTTGATATTAAATTTATAATTATTATTTTTCATAAATAGGTAATTAACATTGAGAATTGCTACTTAATAAAATTTTAATTGTAAATAAAATTTTATACAAAATAGTTACAGCATTCTTCTTAAGAAGAATAAGTATATCAAATTTCATAACAATTAATTAGGTGTTATCAAGAAATTAACTCTTGAAAATTGAAATTTTACATATAGAAAATTTTATTTATTTATTTTATATGTAAAATTTCTATTTCAAAAGTTAATTTTTTGACAATCACTAATTTAATTATTATAAAATTTGAAATATTTATTTTTTTCAAAAAGGACAATTAATCCTATAATTATTTTGGCTGTAACCATTCTGTTTAAATTTTATTCACAATTGAAATTTTATTAAGTAACAATTCTCAATGTTGATTATCCATTTATAAAAAATCAAGATTATAAATTTGATATTAAAAATATCTTAAAAAAATTATCAAAATTCAAAAATTAAAATATGTATAATAGCTATTGTTCTAAAATTTATTGTTCAGGAGTAGAATTTTTTAAAGACAAAAATTCAGGTATTGCAATTAAAGATAATGTTCTTAATTATTTTTTCAAGTTTTTAATGTTGTGATATAAGAAATTATAATTAATTTATATTATTTTTATTTATTTTTATAATTATATATTATTATTTTATTAGTTTTATTAGTATTTCTTTGTTTGTATTTTTATTTGTTTATTAATTGTTTATATTTAGTAATACAAATTAAAAAAATAAATATCTCTAATGAATATCTAGTTTGTAAAATATTAGAAGACATAAGATGAATATTTCAGATAATTATTTCAGATGATTACCTCTAGATATTTATCTTTGATAATTATCTCCTGTCTATATATGTTTTCAAAATTGATTTTGATTTTTGGGATATTTCATCTTTTTGAAATTTACATAGAATCTATTCTATATATGGAAGTAAAAAAATATCTAGCTAAGTGTATCTTTAATCAAAGAATTTATCTAGATAGTTAAAGAATTTTGAATTTTAAGTAAAATAATTTTGTCTTCTATGAAAAACTATTTTAATTTTTTTTTTCAAAATTATAATTTCAGGATTTCAAAATAATTTTACATGCAAGTATACTCCTGTCACAAAAGAATATAGAATATTTTAATTACGTGAAAGTAATTAAAGTGCAGTAGCTTAAATCATTATAAATAAAAGACTTTTTCTTCCTAAATAAAAAAAATAATTAGAGTTCAAGTCAAATATAGTTTCAAATAATTTTTATTTTATATTTTATATTTTATATTTTATTTATCTTTTATTTTGATTAAAAACAATAAAAATTAAACTGAGTTTTAATTTAAGTTTTGTAATATTTTTTTTTTTATTTTTTATTTTTATATTATTAATAAACTGTATATTTATCTTATCCTTTTGTTATTATTTAATATTAAATTGTCCTTTGTACTGAACAAAGTCACAAACTAACTTGATGCAATAAGTCTCCAAATAATTAACAAAGAACTTACTTATCAAAGTTATTATATAAATTGTGAAAACCTTATAATTATAAACTTTCAAAATTGAACAAAAATTTCTAAAAGACTTAATAAATAAAAAAAAACCTTCTAATTACATTGACAAATTGTATATAACAATATTGTGAATTTTTTAAATAAAATTACAATACAAATTTACAATTCTACAATTAATTGTAAACTTTTGTATAGTGTTTAAAACTAGTTTAAAAAAATCAACTTGGTTAAACTTATATTTTAAAATAAGCTTAGCCAACTTAGTTAACTAAAGCTAAAATTTCTTAATATAGAATTAAAATTTATAAGAATGTTATGTAAAAATTATATAATTAATCAAAAAAAATTCATATAATAGAGTTATACAATATATTATACATTTATAATTATTATATGATCTACTAATTATAATTATATTAGGATTATACAATTAATTACACAAAAGTTAATTTTAAATAATAGATATCTTATATAGTATCAACTTAATTGATTCTCAAAAAATCAGTTAACTAAGCTAGCTAAATTAACTAAACTAGTTAATAAACTTTTAGCTTCAAATATTATTTCTGTATAATAATGTTTTTATTTTTGAAATTTCTATTGTTGACTGTAATTTACCTTTAAATAAACACAATAAACTAATAACTAAAGGCAAAAAAATATGTAAGTGAACCTATAACAATTATATTCAATTTATCAATATTGAAAAGATTTTATATTATAAAGAAAATTATAAAGTATGAATAATTTTATTATTACAGATTGTTTTAAAAAAGATAGAGAATAAGTTTTTATAATAATATCTACATGGGATAGAAATAATAATTCACACAGAATTATAGATCAAAAATAACATGAAGATTTTATTAATAATTTTATTATTAAGAACATACACATCCTCTTAAGTTGAAGAAAAACTCAGTCTTTATATATATTATAATTATTGTTAATATTTATATCAATATTCAGGTTAATACTATTGTCAGTACCTTTGTCAATATGCATGTCAGTATTATTGTTAGTACAACTGTCAGTAACTTTGTCTGTGTTCATATCAATATATTACTGACTTGTATTTGGATTATATAATTATTTGTATAAGCTAAATTATACTTACATATAAAATTATTTTGAAATCCCAAAATTACAATTTTGAAAAAAAAAATTGAAATAGTTTTTCATAGAAAATGAAATTATTTTATTTAAAATTCAAAATTTTTTGATTATCTAGATAAATTCTTTAATTAAAAATACACTTAACTAGATATTTTTTTACTTTCATATATAGAATAGATTCTATGTAAATCTTAAAAAGACGAAATATCTCAAAAATCAAAAATTAATTTTGAAAATATGTATAAGCTAAACCAAGTAACAATTTCTAATTTATAAAACTTGACTAAATTAATTTACTTATACTAATAACTATAATACTATGATAATTAATAAATAATATAATGACAAATATAAAGAATATGAGAATAATATAATAAAAATATAAAATAAAAATAAAAATATATATGAAAAAAAGAAATAAAGAAATAAGCTAACACTATTTTCCTGAATTCAAAATAATATTTTTTTCATTTCAATTGAATATCTCTATATCAAATTATTAAACAAAATAATTTATTTAATTCATAATTAAAATTTAATTAATTAAATGAAATTACTGTATCTCTATAACCTGTAATTCACTTTTTATAATATATAGCTCATTAGATTCCTCTTGTTGAAAATATTTTAATAGTTGTTTCATTAAAATTAAACATATATACATCAAGTTATTAACTAAAAACAATTTGTTTATTTTTGATTAAAATTAAAAAATTTTTTATAAAAATAATTATAAACTTGTAAAATAATTATAAACTTGTAAAACAATTGTAGAACAATTGCAGACTTTTAAAACAATTGTAGACTTATAAATAATTACAAATTACAAAAATTGCAAATTTTTTATTATTGAAATCTTTAATAATTATAATACAAATAGTAATATCATAATCTTTAATTCATAATTACAAATATTATCTTTAGTTGCAGTATGCTATAAATATGAAACATTTAAATAATGTATTAAAAATACTAATTTTAGTATGCTATAAATACAAAATATTCAAATAACACATTAGAATAGGATATTTAATATGCTATTAATATGAAATGTTTAAATAATACACTAAAATATTATGCTTTAATATATTGGTACCATTTGAATAATGCTATAGAATGGTATTTATATAGTGTTGTAGAATATTTTTATTTAATTCCTGATGAAGATAGAAACTGATAACTTTGTTTTATTCAAAATCCATTAACTTCTTTTTTTTAATTATTCTACAATAAACAAAAAATAATTAAATAATATAATTTGTAATAATCATTATTAATAATCAGGTATTACAAATATATATTTTTTATTTAAGTTATATGATAATATATTTATATTTTTATGTAAATTACAAGGTTTGTCTTAAATTTTTAAAATAGAAGTGTATATTATACATGTTATTTAAATTCAAAATTTATTGACTCAATTTTAATTTTTTCAATTTTTAATTATATCTAACTCAATTTAATAATTTTTATAACATGTATAATATATATATTATACCTTATGAAAGTTCAAATAAAAAAAAAGAATTTGTTCAATATATTCAACAGGTTTAACAGAAATAGAACCAGAAGTAGAAATTAATAATAAAATATTGAATTTAGTCAAAGGTAATATTATAATATTATACTATACCTGCCACCCAAATTCAAAATCCAAATGCCAAAATCCCAAATGCCAAAATTCCAAATTCCAAATCCCAAATTATGATTAGTATTTTTTGCCAAAATTCCAAATCCCAAATTCCAAATACTAGTAATTTGGAATTTTGACATCCCAAATCCCAAATGATTTGGGATTTGGGCAACACGTATATATTATACTAGTTAAATACAAAAGAATAATTATATTAAAGAATGATTTCTATATTATAGACAACTAAAAATTAAAATTTTTATATTATAGACCAGCTAAAATTTATCACTTTATTGTATCTTATATTATAAATCAATTAAATTATAATTTCTTTTTAGTATAACTATTCTTTTGTATTTGACCTGTGTTAAATATAATAATTTATGTTCTTTTTAAAAATATTTTTTATTATTTGTTTATATAGAAGTAAAAAAGTATTCAGTTTAATATACTTTTAATCAAAAAATTTTTCTGGATAATCAAAAAATTTCATGTATAAGTATAATCTGAACTATATATAACATTTTTATTTTTATTTATTTCAATTAGTGATATAATTTTATTTTATTTTATATTTTATTATTTTATTATTTATCAGTATATTATATTATTATTTTATCTTATTTCTTATATCTTGTATTAATCTGGATTTGATTTCTAGATCTTAGATTATTATTTATTTCCTATTTTGTTATTTGTAATTTTGATTATAAATTACATAAAACCTTAATAAAGAAAATCAGAAAGAAATTGTTTCTGTTTTAAAAACCAGTATTTCATTTATTTTTTTGTTATTTCTTGGTGAAAATAACTTATTAATCCAATCCATAGTGAATATAACCAAGTTCATTACACTATATCTATACCTGAAATATATTTGTGTGATTGTAAAATTAATTTTGAAAAAAAAAATCAAAATAATTTTTATAAAATTAATTTCAAAGTTACACAAATGCAATATAGTTCAAACATAAACTTATTATTCTTTTTAATAATTAAAGTAAATATTTTTTTTTAGTAATTCTTAATAATTCTTAATAATTCTTAATATTTTTAGTAATTTTTTTAGTAATAATAATATTTATAAAATTCTATATCTATTTTTTTTTAAATAAAACTGATTTCAAATTCTTCACATTTGTATTAATGTATAAATCCTTTCAACTTTAGTATATTCTGTATAATTACTTAGTAATCTTTATACATAAAGTTTTTCTGTTAACTCATCTTTCAAAGGTACAATTAGGTTAATACTATTGATCACACATAGAGATATTAATTTAATATAAAAAAATTTATATAATCAAATTAATAAAAATTAATTGATATAATCAAGGTTTAAAAAAATATTCTATATTTATGCATTTACATTTTAAAATCTATGTTTAGAATATAAAACTAAGACTAATAATATACATGCTATCCAAATTCAAATTTCAAATGCTGAAATTCCAAATTCCAAATTATTATTTTTTGCCAAAACCCCAAATCCCAACTAGTAATTTGAAATAATCAATGTATTTCAGATCTATTAAATAACAAATACTTATGTTTTAAGTATTAAAACCTTCAAACCTTTTGAAATCTATAATGCTATAAGTTCAGAAGAAGCTCCTATTTCATATAGATACATAAAATACCCTAAAAAATCATAATATTTATTAATTATATAAGTTAAGAATGTGTAATTTTAATTAAGATGTGATTCCAATGTTCTTTGATGTCACAAAGAAACAGTTTTATGATTGATTTTAACCGCATTTATTTGACAAAATCGAATAGAATAATCAGAGAAATTTTGTAAATTCGCGATGATTAAGTGATATAAAACTTTGCATGTGACTCGGAAGAAAAAGCGCATTCACATTCCATTTCTACACTAGTCAAAACATTAAAAAGTCAATAGATTAAATAATAATTAGGGAAAAATGTTTAGAAAGTTACAACTGATGCTCTTGAAAATTTTTTTTTAATTCAAGTCACATGAAAATATTCAAATTTTTTTATTTTTGATACCAAATAAGAACGTTGAGTGGCGTTTGATCTATATGTACATAAATTTACACCGCGACACAATTTTGATTGTAAAGATTGTGATTTTTTGATAATATATAATTTGAAATGGCTTTTCAGTATGATCAATATCACCAGCAACAACAACAACAACAGCAACAACAACAGCAACAGCAATATGGAAGCGGAGTAGACAGTAAAACAACTTTATGGTAAGTTTTTTTTTTTTTTTTTTAAAAAATATGTCTTCTACTAACAAGAAAGAAGCCACAATCTTTTGATCTATTACTAAATTTCGGTGAAAAATATACAAATCTTGTTTTTTTTTGCCGAAATATATAGGATGGGTGAACTTGAACCTTGGATGGATGAAAACTATGTAAGACAAGTTTGGTATCAACTAGGGGAGAACGTTAACGTTAAATTCATTCGGGATAAGTTTACAGGGTAAATAATAAATATGGTATTTTCAGTATGCATCTATAATTACATTTATAAATAAGATCTTTTTAACATTTTTTAAAAATTTATTAAAAAAAAAACGATACTATATAATAGGGCAAATGCTGGTTATTGCTTTGTAGATTTCGTAAGTAATGCGGCGGCAGTAAAGGCACTCAGTACAGTAAATGGTTCACCCATCCCCGGTATCAATAGGATGTTCAAACTCAATTGGGCATCGGGAGGTGGGTTAACTGATAGGAAGTAAGCACCTAAAAATTTTCTCAAATAATTATTTCTTTTGTTTTTTTAAAAAAAAAGTTATCCCCTCGCCTAACATTTTTGTCACTTTTTTTTTGCAAAATTTTATTCGTCTTCATCAAACTTGGAGCCGGGATGATCGTGGACCAGAGTTTTCTATCTTTGTTGGAGATTTAGGACCCGAAGTGACTGAATGGATGTTAGTGGTAACTATAATAAAGATTTGTTCATTTTATTATTATTGATTCTTTAATTTTCGAAATTATATGAAATTGTATTATGAAATTGTATTACGTAATTATGTAGTCCGTCTTTCAGCAAAGATATCCTTCTTGTAAATCTGCTAAAATTATGACAGATCCAATGACAGGAATGTCTCGTGGTAAGTTTTATAACATATGCCTAATTATTATTATAATTATTATTATAATATTAATTATTATTATAATTATTATTATAATATTAATTATTATTATAACTATTATTATACTTATTATAGGATATGGCTTTGTTCGATTTGCGGAAGAGGCAGAACAACAACGAGCCCTTATAGAAATGCAAGGATCTTTTTGTGGAAATCGACCGATGCGAATTTCTACCGCTACGCCGAAAAATAAGGCTGGGTTACAAGGCAACTTTTTCCAACCACAAACTCAACAAAATACGGTCGTTTTAAATCAATATAATGATCCGAATAATACTACGGTTTTTGTTGGAGGATTATCGGGAATTAATAGTGAAGAAGAACTTAGAAGGTACAAATCATTCAAATGATTTATTTTTAAATTATATATATTTATTACATTACCATACCAAAAATATAAAGCATCTTCTTATATATGTTTTTTATACCTTTTTTATTTTCATAAAATATTTTTTACTTTATATATATATATATATTTTTTATAATTATTTTTTATAATATACTTCTATAATATACTTTTATAATATATACTTCTTTTATATGCTTTATAATATGCTTTATATAATATATATATATATATATATATATATACATTTATTATAGTTATTTTCAAGGATTTGGGGAAATTACATATGTTAAAATTCCACCTGGTAAAGGCTGTGGTTTTGTTCAATTTGTTCATCGACAAAGTGCCGAAATGGCAATCAACCAAATGCAACATTATCCAATCGGTTAATACATTAAATATTGGCTATCATTTTATTCAGATTAAAATTTATTTTGTTTTAATTAATAATTTTGATTATTAGGTAATTCACGAGTTCGGTTATCTTGGGGAAGATCACAAAATGATAAAACTGTTGTGGGATCGTACCGGTAAATAGTTCTCAATGGAGAAAATTTGAAGAACAATTATACTAACGATAAAAATTACGGTGTGTTTGAATTATTATTGTATATACATTGTTCAGTCCACCACAAGCGAGTCCTTACAATCCTCTTGGGGGGATGACAACTTCGACTTCTACTACCACACCTTATGGAGGTACTTATGTACCTACCACACCAGTAGTTAATACTCCTGTGACACCAACTCAACCTCCAAATTTACAACAATCCATTACTGATCCATTAGAATCGGTTCCTGTTCAACGAATGAATGAAATTTTTATCTCAAATAAAGAGGCTTTACTTGAAAGAATGGAAACTGATGGTAGTAGTTGGAGAGGGGTTTATGCTCAATAATTCTCAATAATGAAACGGGAGTGATTAGCGTTATTCTTTTAATTGGTTTCCTTTTTTTTTTTTGTTCTTTTTTTTTTCTTTAATACTTTAAATATTTTATTTTAAAACATTTTATTTATGAGCCATAATTAGTACTGTACTGCTATTAATAATACTATTTGTATTTTGAGTGTGTGATAGAAATCATTGTTATTTTCATGAACAAATTTTCACCAGTTGCACAATTAGATTATAAATCATCACCACTGCAATTATCATTAAAAATTAAATGTAAATATAATTTTTTCAAATCAAATCAAAATTAATTATGCAGGTTCTAATTAAATTTATTTTGCAGAATTCGAAACGTAACTAACTAAAACTGGCTGGCTAAATTAAAATGAATCCATTATATGTCATTATATGTCGCAATACTGTCTCATCAAAAAAAAAGGAAATGATAAAAGATTTGTGATCATCTCTATCTTAATAAGTAATTTGTTTTTGAAGTAAAATAAAATTTATTTACACAACGATAAATAATAATAATTGTTTAATGATAACATGTCGCACAGATTATAAAAATTTTTAGTGACCAGTATGATTATCATCTAATATGAATTAACGAGTTAAAAAAGATTGTACTACAACTGCTGCCGAGAAAATCCTGGTAATCCAACCAACTACTGTTTCATCACCTACATCGTGTAATTATGTCAAACAGTTTAAAGAGAAATTATCCAACTATTCTTATAAAAAGATCAAAGTTTATAATTACAATATTTCCCCCTCCCCTTTGTCTTGTTTATCGTACAATTATTATTAAATAATATTTTGATTTCAATATTACTGTACAAGTATTGTAATAATAACCAAAGATTACAGTATTGTAATAATGACCAAAGAAAGAATTTAAGATTACATCTTACTAATTAATTTCCATCAAAAATAGAAATGCATATGCTAAAAAAAAATATAACTGTGTGTAAATAAATAAATAATTAAATAAATTGATTAAAAGACAATCATATTTACATTGTGATTCTAAATTAAGATCCAAAAGGACCAGGACTTTTCTATTGATGTTAGGAACACAGTTCCCTGTTGCATAAAAATATTTTTTAACGTTATATTTGAAATTTAAAATTGTATAATCATTTTTTCTCTGTCATATAATTAAGGTAATTTAATTAAGGCAAAATGGTTACCCCCTAATTTTTTTTTTTTTTTTTAATTGCTCGGATAATATAGAGTGGTATTTAGTAACACTACAGTTCGGAATATTGTTTTTATAGTGTAACTTTATAGGTTATCATATATTAGTTATCTCAGTTCCAATTGATCAATCTAACAAGCTAATGACAAATCAATGAGATACATGAATTCTTATCTCAAAAGAAATAATTCTTCTTTTTGATAATTACGAAATCATGATAAAAAAAAATGAGAAAATAATGATTAATATAATATCAGTGTAAATAATTAAACAGTAATTGAAATCCACGCGGTAGAGGACAACGCAACGTTTCAATTGTAAAAAACAAACAAGAGGCGGTACCACCAAAACATGTAATTTAAATCTCATAGTTGATAGAAGTTATCTGGATCATCTGATCCTGTATGAAAAAAGGGACGCCAACATTTTTAAAAATCGCACCACCAAAAGGAAGTAGTATAAAAATAACATTAATTAAAAATAATTATTAATAGGAATATATTACATTATTATTTGGGACACCAGATTTAATCTTGATTGTTTTTAATATTGATTACATATATGGTATATAAAAAAAATCAATAAGTATTTAATTGAATTTGTGAGAGGGACTTTTTTTAAAAAAAATGTAATGTGGCTTGAATTTATTAATTATATATATTTATACTTTATTTCTACTAAAGAAGGTAGTACGATAGCAATAGGGATTTATTTCAAAAAATAAATAATAACATTATTCTTTTATTATTATAAAAATTGATTAGGTCAAATGAATAAAAAATGTTAATCTCAAGTTTAATGTTGATTCTACCTTTATATGAATTAAAACTTTATTATTCTTTTATATAATATATATATTGTATTAAGTTTATGAATTAATAATATAATAATAATAATAAAACACATGTTCTATTAATTTTATTATTTAATATAATAATAAAATAATACCTTGTATACAAAATTTTCAAATAATAATAATTAAAATTTAAACCTTTTGTTAGAAAGAGATAGTAATAATAGAATATATATATAGTACAACTTTTACAACTTTTGATAGAAAAGAGAGAAAGAGAAAAAGGAAAAAAGATAAAAAAAAAGGAAGAGAAAAAAAGAAAAAAGAGAAAAAGAGAAAGAGGAAAAGAAAAGAAGGAAAGGGAATTTATATAATTATATGAGAGAAAGGATAATTGAGTTTATTTACTATTATTATTATATGTGCTATATGCTCATATTATATATAATAAGATCAATTAAAGTAATATTATTAGTCTATTATGAAAATAGGGAGGAAATTTTGGAAAAAAAAAATTTTTTTTTATACAAAACATTGAAAATAATATTCTCGGAGGGTTGTTTTCTATTATTATTATTATTATTATTAACAAGAGCACGATGATTGCTCGTTAGCATTTGTAGCACTAGAATTAATATTTACATCAATTACTAAAACCACAAATTGAAAAGAATTAGAGTGAATTAAGAATTAAATTGAGAATTAAATTGAGAATAAAAAGTGAATTAAATTGAATTAGAATAAATAAAGGCTTACGTTGGTTTTGAGGTTCATTCATTGTATTTTCCATTCCAGGTAAAGCCTGAGCAATTTTACGAAAGAGTGTTTTTACATTATGACCGGCCTTCGCACTGGTCTCGATAAACATCACATTAAATTCTTTGGCTTTCTTTTCCCCTTCTTCTGTTGTAACTTGTCTAAAAAAAAAAAAAAAATAACCGGAATGAAATTTTTATTGAAATTTAATAAAAATTAAATGAATCAAAAAAAAAATAATTATAAATAAAAATAATGAATTAATAAAATATAAAATGATACCTTTTGTCATTTAAATCTGTTTTATTTCCAACCAACACAATGATGACATCATTTCCTCGTTCAGCACGAACATCGTCAATCCATTTTGCCGTGTTCATGAATGAATTTCGATCTAATAATTGATTGAAATTTCAATTTATAATAAATCAAAAAAAAAATATATATATATATACCAAATTTTATAAAAAAAGAAAAAATAATCTAAAATCTAAAACGCACTTGTGATGTCATATACCACAACAGCCACCGAGGAATCTCGAATGTAACTTGGAATTAAACTTCTGAATCTTTCCTATTAAGATGACGGAATTCCAATAATAATAGTAATTGATTAATTAAATAAAATTCAAAAAAAAAAAAATCAAAAAATTTAATAAAAATAAATAAAAATAAATAAAAAATCAAAATAAAGAATTAACAAATTAAATACCTGTCCAGCAGTATCCCATAATTGCAATCGAACCGTTCTATCTTCTAAATACATGGTTTTTGATAAAAAATCAATACCAATGGTGGCCTATCCACGGGAAAAATCTTTAGATATCAGTAAGATTTTTTTTTTTGAAAAAATAAATATCGATAATAAAAAAAATGGACCAATTAATTTATATTAATATATATACCTGATACGTGTTATCAAATGTGTCATACATAAAACGTGTGATTAATGATGTCTTCCCGACTAAAATAAAAAAAAAGAAAGGAAAGAAAGATGGAAACAATTTCTTGAGGGGGATTTTTTTTTTTTAAAAAAAAAAAAAAATAAAACGTACCACTTTGTTCGCCCAAAAATACCAACTTAAATTTCCTTAAGGGATTACTGAATTCAGAAGGATTAGTTGCCGCCATTTTTTTTTTTTGTTTTCGACAATTTTTTTATTGTAATTTTTTTTAACAATGATTATGATAATTATCGATAGAGAAAAAAAAAGGGAGCGAAAACCACGTGATTATGAAACGTTGGTTTTTCCTTATTTGTTAATTGATATTTATAATATCGGATATATTTATAGAAACTTTAAAAAATTGAATAAAAATAAAAATAAGGATTATTATTATGTAGCCATTAATATTTAGGTATATTTATAGAACTTTAAAATTATAAACTATAAATAATAAAGGATTATTATAAAGCTATAAATAATATTTATTGATGTAAAAATTGATCCAATAATTTTTAGTAATCGTTCTACCCCACACAACCTTACATTAATATTTATTTATTAATATTTATTTCATTTCAAACTTACTGCGGACGGTGCGAAAATTGAGGCTTGAAGAATAATGCTAAGCCTTTAATGTATATTTTAGAGATGAATTTAAATTTAAAGTAAAAATTTATGAATTTAAATGTAATTGTTGAATTAGAGCCACAAAATCTCTCACACACATATGCAACGCAAAGCCACCACCTACTTTTTTATACAGACGAAAATATATATTAAATGATTCATCGGTATGCTCCATTTATGTCGGTATCCTTGAACATGTATTTCTTTTATGCTTAGGTATACATATTATATTATATTCTGTATATTATTAGTATTCTTTATATACGTTCTGCTGCTGCAAAGTTTTTAAGTTCTTCAATAAAAAGGTAAATAAGTACCGATTTATTTATTATTTATATTATTTATGTCAAGTGATAAAGAAAAAAAAAAAAAGGGATAACAATAATAATATAATAATAATAATAATAATAATAATAATAAAAATAATAATAATAATAATAATAATAATAATAATAAATATAAATAAATAATTTAAAGTTATTACGTATTAAAAGTTATTAAAAGTTATTAATTAAAATCATTAAAAAATTAAAGTTTCTATTTAAAACTTGTATCCAATTTTAGGACGAGATCATCTCTGTTTTGAATTTATTTTTAAAAATGGTACATTTATAGAAATATTTGTATGACGAAATTATAATGTATTATATCATATAATTTTATCATTCTACATATTCTACATTGTATAATTATTATATAACATCATAAAAATAAAAATAAAAATAAAAATAAAAATAAATCAGATTAGTAGTACATACACCGAATTCTTATTAAACACTAAATAACACCTGGTTTTTTTTTTTTAAATACAAATCTTTTTCTTCAAAAAAATAAAAAAATAAAAAATAAAATTTCAATCACAATAATCATAAATAATAATTAATAATAATAATTAATTTTTTTTTTTTTGTAAAATATTGGTAATATTATAAAAAAATTTATATTCTCGAAAATTTGAGTTGATTTTTTTGAGTCGAATTTTTATCGGGCTTTTTCTTTTTTTTTTTTTGACGATAAATTATTTAAGAAATTCAAAAGAAAAATAATAATAATAAATTATTAAACATATAGGATTTATTTATTGAATTAAAAAAAAAAATTCAAAAAAAAAATTACCAATGAATTCAATTACCACTTCTTCAACATCACTATCTTCTGTACATCCTGAATCTATTCCTGATATTAATAATAATAATAACAATAACAACAATAATAACAATAACAACAGTAATTATAATAATTATAATAATTATAATAATAATTATAATAGCAACAATTTCAATAATAATAATATTATTAATAACGAAAATCAACCAACAAATTATTCATCAGAAAAGAGTGGTGGATTTCTTGATAATACTTTAAAAATGGCCGTTTATCGTAAAAGGAGGTTATCCAAAATTCCCGCACCAGTAATTATTCCACCTCCTTCTCCAACGGTCACAGCAGCTTCACCCGTTAGTCCGGATCTTTTCTCTGAATTACCTTCTCCCAGAGCTCCTCAAAGTCCCACGAAAAGATTTGTCCTAAAGCCTATCACAGCTTTAACTGCGGCTTTTCAAAGAACTTCAATTACTGGACGTAATAAATCTTCTTTAAAATTTCCCAAATCATCATCATCATCATCATTATCAGTATTATCATCATCATCTAATAATCATAATAATAATAATTATTATTATTCACCTAAATCATCCAAATCTGTTAATTCACCTAAATCTGTTAATTCATCTAAATCTGTTAATTCATCTAAATCTGTTAATTCACCTCAATCACCTAAACCTCCAAAATCCCCAAAATTATTACATCGTAAAGGAAGTAGTGGATCAATTCGTAAACGAGCAGAAAGTCCAACTAGTCCAGTAGTTGCGGCAGTTGCATCATATCTTTCTTCTAACAATTCCAATTCCAATAATAGTTTCAATAATAACAATCATCATAATAATATTAATCCATGTTCATTATCATCATCATCCACATCAACGACAACAAATAATAATAATAATAATAATAGTAATAATAATAATAATAATAATAATAATAATAATAATAATTCGAAACCATCATTTTTATTTGGAAAATTATCAAATATTACAACACCTCAAACTTCCACACCAAAATTACCTTCAAAATTAGGAATCTTTAACTTGAAACCTCCAAAATCTACATCCTCATGTAAAAAAGCTTTACCAATTACACCAGCCGAATTATCTGAAAGATTACGTGAAATAGCTTTAAATAAAAATGATGAAAATGAAATATTTTCTCATCCCACTTATGATGAAAATAAACCTCCATCATCATATAATAATAATCATAATAATCATTATCATAATAATAATTATCGACCTAAACCTGTTTTAATTGATGTACGTAATTTGGCATTATATCAAGATGAACATATTTGTGAATCATTTAATGTAAATTTACCAACATTACTTATAAAAAGATATCATCGTGGTAATATGAGTAATTTTTCATTGGATTCATTTATTACCACACCAGAAAGTAGAGATCAATATCTTGATCGAATACAAGAAGATGGAGGAAAATATTATCATGACATAATAATTTTTGATGATGCAATGAATGAAACTGATAAAGTTAGTCCCGGGTGGACTTTATTAAGTGTTTTGGAAAGAGCGATGTTAAGTTATCATAATAATAATTCATCAACCGAAAATATTAATGAGAATAATAATAATAATAATAATAATCTTATTAATACGAATGAAGTTCAAAATCGAGGAAGAGTTTATTGGCTTAAAGGAGGATTTGAAGCATTTCGTTCATGGGATCAAAAAAGAGAATTCATTATTACCGGATTAGAAGTTGGTTCGGTTTTTTCAAATAATGAGAATGGAAATGGAAATGAAAATGAATCAGATGGTACAACCATGGAATTTTTAGAAGGAGGACAACAACAACAACAATTACAACCAACTGGAGGATTGGTTCGTAGAGATTCATTATTTTCTGTAAATACGGAACGAAGTTCATTAAGACGTAAACGTAGTGATAAAAATAATTCGGAAATTCAAGGTGAAGAAAATAAACAACAACAACAATCATCAACGCATTCATCATCACAATCATCATCATCACAATCAGCATCATCACAATCATCACAATCATCAGATTCACCTATTATGAAACAAGATGAAATTCCAAAAGGAAGACGTCCTTCAAATGGATTACAATATTTATTTACTCCATCTACTTCTACTGAAAGAAGGATGAGTGAACCTTTATCATTATTTCCTAATCAATTCGTGAAGACCAATAATTTACCGGATTGCCCTGATTCACCTAGTACTCCTCCTCCCTTAACTCATCCCGAAATTTCATTCATAGTTTCAACTATTATTCCTGATTTCCTTTATTTGGGTCCGGAAATTTCTAAAAAGGAAGAAGTTGAAGAACTTGAATCAAAAGGAGTTAAACGAATTTTAAATATGGCTTTCGAATGTGTAGATAATCTTGGTTTAAATGAAAAATTTGAACAATATCTTAAATTAAATGTCAAAGATTCCGTAGAAGAAGATGTTGAAAGTGGATTAAAAGTTGCGGTTGATTTTATTGGTAATTATTATTATTATTATTATGATTATTATTATTTATATTGATTATTTGTAAATTAATTATATTAATTTATCTCTTTATTATTATTATTTAAATTAAATAGAACAAGCAGAAAAAGATCAAACTCCTATATACGTTCATTGCAAAGCCGGAAAATCACGTTCAGTTACTGCGGTTTTAGCATTTCTAATAAAATCTCGTCACTGGACGTTAAGGCATGCTTATGATTACGTGATGGAACGAAGAAGTGGGATATGTCCGAATATTGGTTTCGTGGCGGAATTGATGAGAGTCGAAGAATTGGTATTAGGAATAAAAAGTAATACCGGTGCGATCACCGAATTCGATTTAAGGAGAAAAGATGATATGATGGATGTGGAAGGAATTGAACCGTTAGGAAAAACTCCTCGAACGGCATTCTTTTAAAAAAAAAAATTTCATTAAACAAAAAAAAAAAATTGACATTTGACATTTTGACATTTGACATTATTTTTTTTATCAAAAAAAAAAAAAGCAATTTTTTATTTAAATTTATTATTTGCAATGCAATTTTTTTTAGATCACATTATTATTTATTAGTATGATTATTATTCTTATTATCCTACTGTTATTATTCTTATCAGTTATTGTTATTATTATTATTATTTCTTGTCCGGAAAAAAAAAATGTAAATAGTCTTTTTTTTTCAATGTTATATATATATATAATTATTCTGGATTCGAAATGAAAAAAAAAATATATATATTTATAAAAAAAGGAAATTATTCAAAAACAATAAAAACCAAACAAAAACAATAAAAATCTCATTCCCAGTGTTATAAACGGTATAATCACTATTCATTATGTGATACGTGATGTATGAAATGTGATACAAGATAAAGATAATGCACGTCACAAAAAATCTCTTAATTTCAACTTTGTCCTGACTGCTCTTGAAGTACCTTCATGATGTATGTACCAAATTTTGGGTGCATTAATAATTTTAAAGTCTATAACAGAGAGATTGGAAAAATTATTAAAATGTTGAAATGTAAATGAATAAATAAATAAAATAAATAAATAAAATAAATAAAATAAATATATTACAATACCTAATCCATTATTTGTTTTTATATCGTTACTAATCTTTGGTCTACCAAAGAAATCTAATTGCTATAATTTTAAATTAAATTATTAAAGTAAATTAAATTATTAAAGTAAATTAAATTATAAATTAAATCAAAAATAATAAAATAAAATAAAATTAATTTATAAAATTATATTAATTGATTTATTTTTATAAAATATAAAAATCAAATTAAATGAATGAGAAAATTCAAATTAAATTAAATTTTATCAAATTAAATTATAAAACAAACAAACGAATAAAGAAATAATATAAATAAACAAATAATTAATATAAATAAATCAAATAAATTAAAATGAATGAATAAACATAAATAAACATGCATGAAAATTATGAAACATTAACATCGAATATAAATAATATCATATAAATAAACGAAACAATATCAAACCTTATTTATCGGCAACGGTGAAATTTGAACGATTTTATTATTATTATTATTATTATTATTATTATTATTTCTATTACTATTATTATTACTATTGTTGTTGTTGTTATTTAATATTTTTTTTTGATTCGCAATGTTTTCTATCCTGGTTTCAATCTATAATAAATAAAAAATAAATAAAAGAAATTAATATAATGAAAAATGAGGATATAACATTATCATTATCATTGATAATAATAATTATTATTATTTATTTATTTATTTACTTCTTTTAATATCAACTGTTTGGACTTTTCGCGACTAATTAACGACATCTTCTTTGGTAAATTACGAAAAGATAATATGAGATCATCTATTGGTCTATAAAAATAATAACAACAACAACGAAGAATAATAATCAGAATAATCATAATAATAATAATAATAATAAATAAATTATTCTTACGGTTCAAGTTTAAGTAAAACTTTTCCATCATCCATTCTTTTCTGAACAAATTTTAAATTGAAGAAAATCATTATATCAACCACTCGAGATAATTTTGTATTTGAAGGTAACATTGAAGTATTATCCTGTTTAAATCATTATTATAATTATTAATTATTATTATTATTATTATTATTATTATTAACAATTATTATCATTATTATTATTAACAATTATTATCATTAATTATCATTATTATTAATAATCATCATTATCAATTATTCTAGTAAAAATAAAGAGAGAGAAATACCATTTCAACATTCTCAACATTCGAATAAATAATTCTCATCAAATAAGAAATTAATTCAGTAGGGAATAAGTTTTTATTTAATTTTACTCGATAGTGTGATGGAATTCCATTATATGAACAAGCAATTAAATTTTCATTTGCTTGTTTTGCGACGTAATTCTAATTTAAAAGAAATATTTAATATATAAATAAATAAATATATATAAATAAATAAATAAATAAATACATATATATAAATAAATAAATAAATATATATATATATATATATATCGAAGAAATATATATATTAAAAGAAATATCTCACCTCATAATCTCTTTTAGGATAATCAATATAAGGTCGAACACTTCCCGCAAATAATCGATAAAAATTTATCAAAGGGTAAGGGGCATAACAAAGTAATTCAAATGATTGTTGAGAATTGGCTCGATAATTTATTTGATCATAAAAATTCAACCATTCAATATTTTGTTCAAGTTTATATTTAGAATCGTGAATCTTCATCTTAAGGAAATTCTCAAAGCATCCTATTTATATATTATATATTATTATTATTTATTATTATTATTTATTATTATTATTATTATTATTATTATTATTTATTATTATAATTATTATTATTATTATTATTATTTATTATTATTATATGTAAAAAAAAAAAAAACAGAAAAATTTAGAGTCAAAGTTACCTTGAAATAATTTATCATAATCACCATTAGAATTTATTACGGATGCTAAATGTTCAACGTACTGAGTTGAGTTGTTGTTATTTAATAAGTCACCAGAAGAAGAAGAATATTTCATTATGTGATTTTTTTCACTAAATTTATTTCTTGCGCTTTTTAACATAAATATTTCTTCCCATATCGCAAATAATGATTTATTAAAATTCTTTTGACCAATATTTGATTCCATTATTGTTTCTTTGGTTACGGAATTAAAATTTTGATTGATAAACTAATAAAATCAATAATTATTAAATAATCAAATAATAATTAATAATCAAATAACAAATAAGTAATAAATAAATAAATAAATAATAAATAAATATAAATAATAAATAACAAAAAAAAATAAAATAAAAATAAATTAATCAAATAATCTCGGAATATTTTTTTATACCTGTAAAATAGTTAAACAATTTCTAAGATCACCTTCTGTAGATTCTGTTAAGAAAAACAAAGCCGACATATCAGCTGATAAATTTTCACGTTCACATATTTGCATCAATCTCTTGGTTAATCTATTAGTATTTGATTTTTTTAATTGAACCACTTTGACATGATTTCGAAGTGGACGTAAAACTGGTGCATACCTAATTAAGATAAAATCATATTAAAATCATATAAAAATTATATTAAAATAAAATAATATAATATAATATAATATAATAAGAATACATACTGATCATTACAAATACAAATAATAGGTCGTAACAAATGTTTTCTCTTAATATTCTTTTGTTTTTTATCTAGAATATGTAAAAATAATATTAATTAAAATTATTAAAATTGATAAATATTAAAGTATATAATAATAATAGTAAGAATTATTATTTATATTACTTGTCTTAATTCCTTTCATTCCTTTTTTAGTAATAGCAGAATTTGAACTTTGTGGCTTTTCTATATCAATTAAATCTACAAGTAACTTGATGAAATTCTAGATAAAATAAAAATAAACAAAAAATAAAATAAATAAAATAAAATAAAATAAAAAAATAAAATAAAATAAAATAAAATAAAAGATATTCAATAATAAATTCTTTTAATTAATAATAATAACAATGATTTTAATAATAATTCGTAATAATAATAATATTAACCTCTTCTCCACTACTAGAAACTCCATCAATCTCATCAATAATAATTAAAATAGGTTTCTTATTTTGATTAATGGAATGTATTTCTAATGCATTGGTAATTTTACTTTTGATAACTTGTCCTGTTCGATCATCACTATAAAAATATTATTATTATATTATTATTATTATTATTATTATATTATTATGATTATTATGATTATATAATACATTATTAATACATTATTAATACATTAATAATATATTAATATTCAAATAATTATTATAATCAAATGATTAACCTAGCATTTATTTCCAATACATCATAACCACAATGACGCGCTACTACATGTGCCAAAGTAGTCTTTCCATATCCTGGTGGTCCTGTTAACATTAAAATCTACATAATAATAATAATTATAATAAATTATTATATTAATTAATTATTAAAAAATATTCCCGTTATGAATTCACATTTATTACCTTTTTTTCTGGTCGATTCCACTTGTCTTGATACTAAGAGTAAATATATATTATTATGTGAAATACTTCCGAAGTACAACAACCACTATTACTAATACTAATAATAAATAATAATAATAATAATAATAAATAATAAGTAATTTACCAGTCCATTTTTTCCATTAATTTTTCCATCATATGTCGCCTCTTTTTTACCAAATACGCAATAATTCCATTGAATTAACCATTTCATTATATCTCGATTAACATTCTACTTAACATAATATTAGAATAATAATAATAATTATTATTATTATTATTATTATTACAGTTAATAAAAGATTTGTTCTAATTACAATAATTACATAAAAATTTCGTTACCTCATCTCCCACTAAATCAGTATAATGTTTAGGTCGATATTTTTCTGTCCAAGATTGAGAAGAAGAGGTTTTGGTTTTATTTGGTTGATTATCAATATTCACCATTCGATCCTTTTCTTTCTCTAAACTTTGTGTTGATTTGTTATTTTATATAATATTCATGGTTTGTTTGTAGGAATATAATAAATATAACATGTATTCAGAATAATAATAATATTATTATTATTCTTATTCTTATTCTTATTAACTACCCAAGAAGTGTTCGTGACTTTTCTTGATGGATTTCATCAATCATACGATATATCGATTTTCCAAGTAGTCTTCTCTAATAAATAATAATAATAATAATAGTAATAATAATAATAATAATAATAATAATAATAATAATAATAATAATAAAAGAGAATATAATTAATTAATTTTAATGAAAAAAATAATTTTTAATAAAAATAATTATCTCACTTCTTACATTATGATTATGATTAATAAAATTATTACTTCTACCAAAAGAGATATTTTTTTTTTTCATCGGAAATCGGAAATGTTGACCGGATGATAATGTCACGGAAAGAAATTCTAATTCTTCCTCATTTTGATCACTTTGAAAATAATATGAAAAATCATCATCATCATCATCATTATTATTATCATTATTATCAAGAATATCTTCTCTTCTTGGCTTTTTGATTTCTACAAATTATGAAAAATTAGAAATGTTCAATTTATAAAATTAAAAATTAATCTAAATAATATATCTCCTCTATTACCTCTATCATCTTGATTATTCCCATTATTTTCATTATTTTCATTTGTATCATCTAGTATATCTAATATATCTAGTGTATCTAGAGAATCTTCGGGAAATTCATCATCAAACTTATGTTTTCTTGTTTTAATACTTGCAGATCTACTAGATTCCGCATGATTATCATCAACCCCTAAGGCTTGTAGTTGAAATTCTTGTTCGTGACTTAAATGAACTTCTTGATCGTCCCCTTTTGATGAACCCATTTTTTAAATAAAAAAAAAAACTTAAGATCTTTATTAAATCGTGTTTTATACGTTTTTCTAAATCGCGTTGTTAATCGCGTTAACCAGTTAACCCCTATGTATAACTAATATGGGGTACAGAAAAAAAAATAAACCGTTGTGTAACACATGATATAGTATTTCGTGCGACTGTCGCGCTACGTCATTTGTGAATGTAAAAATTAACAATTAATTCGTACTCGCCAATTTTTATTCTCATGGAAAATTTACCTCCCGGTCGAAGGATTCAAGTAGGTCAGAAAATTAAGAAAAAAAAAAGGAATGTCCACCGATTTCCGGAATTACGTCGATATGTGATAACTGTTCATTCAAATACACGTAATAGGTGAGTTCCAAGAACAAAACAGAAATACAGTAATTATGTAATTAATTCGTTTACAATTTTTTTTTTTTTTTTAAAAAAAAAAAAGATTATCGGAGCCCATACCTAAAATGTTTTTAGCAATCATGTTCACAACCTTCTTGTGTATATTTTTTAATATTTTATGGCTAAATAAAGATGCTAATAAATATGCTGTAAATGGAAAGGTAGAAAGTTCTTTACTAGGTTTGTGATTATTTATTTATATTATAATGGATTTATTATTATTATTATTATTACTACTATTATTAACTAATTATTATAAAATTTTATCATTATAATTAGAAACGAAACAAATAATTCCAGAATGCAAAATAAATTCTTTATGCATATTAATAGAAATATCTTGGAAGAAGGAGCAAATTTATTTGAAAATAATTGCAACCAATAATACCCGTTTCCCGTTTTGGAAAATTGCGATTTTCTTCATTGGTGCATTCTTGGGAACCTTCATGTTATTGTATTTAATAATTTTTATAATAATAACTTCTTATTATTACATAATCGAATAGTTTAAATAAAATACTTTAACAATAATAAAAATGCCCTTTCCTGTAACAACAACAACAACAACGACATCCACACCAACGATGATATCATTAATACCCGATCCCTCCATAATTTACATCAACTTACTCACTCAATATAGTTCATTACGTGTTCAACACGCTCAGACTATATCTTTTTTCCTTATTTCCGATTAGTTATTAAATTGAATAATAATATTATTATTATTATTATTAAATAAATAAATAAAATACTTTTATTTCAATTAGAACCAGAGAAATTATTAATAATGATAAATAAAAAAACACGCGTAAAATACTTTATTTTTTTTTCGTAATTAGAATTAAATCACGTATTACGGTATATTATTAAAGAATTGTCAAATAACAATTTAAATCACTTTAGAAGAAAAAAAAAGACCAATTTTTATTACGTTTGTTACGTTGAAATGATAAAACGTTGTATAATTGATATTTTTGTAATTGACAAATATCCCCGATAACATGATGATTAATTATGATTAACTAAGATTCTTACGCTTATATATAGCCAAAGCAGCATTGACCTTTGTTTTTATTCTCTTCTGTAATTCTGGACGATATCCCAGACCGAAGAGAACTTCCATCCATACAAATAATGGCGCAGTGAGGAGTGCTAATTGTAACATTAAATCAATAAATATGATTATAATAAATATCATAATTAGAAATAATATAATTATAATAAATAAATTAGAAATAAATAAATATTATAATAATAAACAACAAATAATAATAATAAACAATAAATAATAATAATAATAATAATAATAATAATAAACCTTGTATTAAACTTTCTTTCAATGCAGGACTTCTTTTCTCCGCGAATCCATGACCAAGAAATTGTAAAATCCATGCACTAACGTGAACAATCAAAGCAAGAGTATTATGGTTTGGATATGAAGCACTGAATTGTGTGGCATTGTGTACCATATACAAAAGTATTGGACTATATAAAGCCTATAATATTTTATATAATCATTATAATTATTATAATCATTATTATTTTATATATATATATATATATATATATTGGAATTAATTAATTAATTAATTAATTTAATAATTAAAGAAGAATTATTATTATTATTAAAACTTACCCCAGCAACGGGTTCCAATAAAATATAATATGTAATATAAAATAGAATTATGAATAAAGAAATGTTTGGAATAAACGGTGTCTTGTGCCACAACGAGTCTGATTCATAAGGTAATATAGGACCAAAATTTGCACAAAAAACTAAAGTACTCCAGCAAATAAGTGGAACGCACACTAAAATAAAAGTTTTAAACGAAGGTGAAAAAAATGAGACTTAGGTATTTTATCTCTTTTTTTTTTTTCTCAAGTGAACCAATTAAAAATCATGAAACCCATTAAACCCATTAAACCCATTAAACCCATTAAAAAAACCATTGGAACCATTATAAAAAAAAAATTAAGAACGGTTCGGTCAAACAAAAAAGTTGGCCTGTACCGGTATGAATGAGGACGTTGACCTTATGTTTATGAAATTGTCCATAAAATGCAAGTTGTTCTTCAAAGTTTAAGTATTTCATAATTAGAATAATATATATAATTAAAGGTGAGAGAGTGAATGTGAGTATGTATGAGATTTCTTTTATATGAAGATTCCTACAATTTACTGTAACAACAAGAATGATAATTAATAATACGGATAACAATAATAAATAAAATAATAAATATCTCTTTAGTTACACAAATTTTATTCTTTTATAAAAAAGATGAGTTTTAATTAAAAATATAAAGTCAATAGTCAATGTCCTTTTTCTTCTAAAATTTCTACGTCCCACTTGCCATTTCTTATATTATTGATCCAGCTGTTGTTATGAAATTAGTGAAAATAAACTCGATACATTACAATAGGTGGATTTTTGTGTTGGATAAATGCGTTCATTTACAAAAAAAGTTATCAAGTCTCAGTGACATATAGATAAATATGTTACTTTGTCAGACATTGGGTCTATACATTTATTTTTATGAACTCGTTTATGTAGTGATAGACTGGAATTTCTCTTCACGAATGCTCCATAAAAGTTTTGTAATGAATGTCATCAAGTCTATAATTTATTCTGTAAAGTTTTTGAGAAAATTGATGACAATGAAAACCCTTAAACAATGTATAGCAGAAATTACAAAACGGCTTGTATAAATAGAAACAATGACAGGGCGACACGATGTACTTTTTATTGCGTGCATCAATTGTTATCGCATGGTGAAGAAGCGTCTGGTGAGTGGATCACACAATACTCTAATTTTGATGATAAAATATTTGGATGAATTCACACTTCATAACAAGTGAATAGAATAGGTATTACAAAAATAAATGTATAATGCTGACTATATTTCAAAAGTTCTCTAAACAAATATTTAATATTATTGATATGTTACAAGTTGTGGTCATCACATGAGATAACTTTTAATCAAAGAATTTTATCTAAAAATTTTTAGATTTAAGTAAAATAATTTTGACTTCTATAATGCTATTTCATCCCAAAACTATATGAAATTTAATTTCAAGTGCAAGTATAAAGTTTACTGTATAACGTTTCATATTGTTTTTGAAAAATCCCTTGTATTATTAAAAAGTCTCTAGTTCATTATCAAAAATAACATCTCTTTTATTATTAATACTAATGTGAAGTATAAAATATGTTCCTTTGATAAAATCTAACATAAAAAAATCATCTTATAATCTATATAATAAAATGTCAAAAAAAATTAGAAGTAATTATATTAATTTATTTATCAATATGTTGAAAACCTATAATTTTAATATCAGCATCTTTATCTATTGAAAAATTCATATAATTTTTCATAAGTATACCTTTTCAAATAAGTTCATTACAATTTCTGTATACATTGTTTTTTTTTGTGATAATAAATTGCTTTACTTACAAACATAATAACTTCAGTTTGAAATTGATGAATAATTAAAAGTAACAGGATGTAATAGATAAGAGTGAGAGCGAAAATACAACAACAATGAAGAGAATAAAAAAAAAAATAATAACACACTCCTCTTCTTATATTTGAGTTCCTGCAAGAACTCAGGAACTCATAAAAAAGAAAAAAAAGGTTGATAGTTTACTCTTGTTGTTCATTTATTTGTGCTTCTGTTACTTCTGTTAATATTTTTTGAAAGTTATTTTCTGACATCTATTGTAACACATAACATGATATATAGGTGGTACTGGAGATATTATAGTTACCTTTCGTAGAATATAGTGCATAGGCTCTTTTAGCAATTGTCCAAAAATGAAGCAGATGATTTTGTAGAAGGTAGGATCTAACAATACTTCTGGCATTATTACTAAATCCTCTTAGATATAGAAGAAAATTCAACTGATAATAGAGTGAGAACTTCTCATCGTTCCTGGTATTGCTACCAAAAGTATTAATAGATTCACATATATAGACAAGTTGTTTTTTCCAATTCTACCTGGACGAAGAGACAAGGAAGTCATATTCATACTATTTCTTCTCAAATCTAAAATTAACAGAGGTAAATAATTGTGAATTCTTTCGTCATAATTTGTCAGAGTGGAGGGTATTGTTACTAGTTGACTTTTTAAATTAATTTTATTTTCCAAAAGACAATTTACAATTAGCAACTTGTAAACAGTTACTTTAGTTTATAAATTAAAGAAGATAATAGAAGAAGAATAAAAAAAATATTAAATTAAATACTAGAAACTAATTAAAAAACTTAAGAATTTATTATCACAGGTTTCAAATATTGATTAACAATTAAATTTTAAAGGTCAATTTAAAAAATTAAAGCAAAGAATTAAATATATTTATCAATGGTTTATAAAATAATAACAGGATTTTATAGATCAGAATTTATATTCGAAAAATATAAATTAATAAAAAGATAACAGAGTTTTAATATAAAAAATATAAGTTTATTATAAAGAAAATCAATAATCCAATTACTTTAGGATTATAAAAATATTAATTCAATTATAGAATTAATTACAGTTGAAATTATTTTCTAAATTTCACTATTTAAAATTATTCGAATCTTATTTGAAAACTATCTAAATCTTCTCTAGAGTGAAGAGAAAACTTATCCTTTTTATAATATTTAATTTAGTCAGTAAGTTGATCAATAAGTTGATAAAAATCTTGGTCAGTAATTGTATTAATCAGTTAGTCACTAAATTGGTTAATCAGTTGGTTACTAAATTGGTTAGTAAATTGACCAATAACTAGACTATATATGTTCCCAAAATTGATTTTGAATTTTTGAGGTATTTCAATTTTTTGAGATTTATACAAAATCTATTCTATATATGAAAGTAAAAAAAGTACCTAGTTATATGTATCTTTAATCAAAGAATAAATCTGGGTGATTAAAAAATTTTAGGTTTTAAGTAAAATAATTTTGTCTTTTATGAAAAACTATTTCAACTTTTTTTTCCGAAATTACAATTTCGGGACCCCAAAATAATTTTGCGTGCAAGTATAGTCTAAAATAATTTCAACAGCCTAAAATAATTTCGGCATCCTAAAATGATTACGGCAGCCTAAAATAATTTTGGCAGCCTAAAATAATTACAGCAACTGAAATTATTTTCGATTTCAGTAGTCAAAATTATTTTCAATTTCAGTAGCCAAAATTATTTTTGGCAATTATATTTTCAGCAAATACAAAATTAATTAAGGCGCCATCTATAGCTACAGTTGAGTATAATAATTGGTTTCTTTATTTTATATAAGAATAGTTTCTGATTGCATAATAAGCATACATCCAATTTGGATATATTACTTTCATTTATAATTTTTTTCAGGAAATGAATTTTTAATAATATTTAGGACGAAAATTTCAAAAAATGTGATATTGGTAGATATAACTCATATAAAAATAAGTTTTTGGCTGAGCCAGTAAAGCTGAGATATCCACTTTTCTCATCTTATATTATTTATGTATCTACTCACATATCACTCGAAAAAATATCTCAAGCCGAATTAAAATTACATTTGAAATAGCACAAGGAAAGATAAGGTTTTTATTATAGTGAAACCATTATAAAAAGGTCAAGTTTGTAATTAGTGAAAAAAATAGAAATGAATTTTGCTTAATTAAAAAATATTCAATGGTTGTATATGTGAGAAATTGGATTGTACAAAAAATATATAGATCTAACTTGTAAAGTACTTATTCTGTCATAATCATCTCTGCATCTATGCTATCCTCAAACACATGCTTTGATTATAGATAATAGAAACGTGTTATATAATACATAAAAAATTTGATTATCGTAATTTATTAATGCAGTTGAAACGAAATTAGTATTTTTAACTTAACTTATTTGCATTTTGATAATATCGATTTTTAACTTGCTTCATAAATAATCCATCAGGTTGATAAAGCCACTTAATTACTATATGTTGAATAATTTTAGTAAAATTAATTTGTTTTTTCCATAAATGATATGTTTACTGGATAATTAATGATACACAATTTTTTTATACAATACTAATTGAACTTTGAAATCCCTATATTTAGTATCATTACCTATTTGCTTATGGTTGGTTAAATTATTTTTGATACGAAATACAAAATTTTTTCAATAATCTCTATTATCTATTTCATATTTTATTTTAATAAATACTTGCATTAGCCAAATTGTGAAAAATCAGTACCTATCGTATACTTATCAGGTACTTGATAAGTATGCAATAGATGTCTAATTTTTAATAAATTTTAATATATCAGGTTCCTAATAGGTAGAGTGAGCGTGCCAAAGTTTGAACACATATTGAGCACATATTAACAGATATTGAACACATATCGGACTCTGATTTTTTGATATTTTTTTAAATATATCATACACTTATCGAGCACTCGATTTTATTTATTTTTTATCGGATACATATCTTCAATTACTGGTCAAATTGTAGAAAA